ATCGTTGTAGAATGAACAACCATCGACTGTTTCTTCATGAATCTGGTATGTGTTCTTTAAAAACATACGGCGCAAAAGGAACAAAACTGTCATCAAGAAGGAGCTTCCTCCGTACTCTGGTCAATATTGTACCTGTTGAACGTTCAAACGAAGGGTGGTAGGTATCAACAGGAGTAAATAAGCTCGGAGCTTATAATACTCTTGGTATCATCTCGCAGAGCCACAGGCACTTTAGAGACGTGTCTTTAATTGATAAACCTCCCCCCCCCCCCATTACCGAACAGGATTTGCGGACTCGGACTAAGCGAACTGTTCCTGCTAGCGACCGGGTGTCCAGTCAATGCGGAGCCTAGTAATTAGTATTGGAGAATATGAACTAGTCATGTATGTACATTGTGTGTCACTTAGTATTATCTTTCTCGATATGCACGATGTCATGTTCTACAACGTTACGTTACGTGCAATGATTTGTGTCACACAGAGCCTGGGAGTCCGCAGCCGTTATTATTATAAGCATTCCCCCGTTCAAGTGTAACAGCAGTATGCTGAGCACTTAGCTTTACTAAATTAAATAACGTTAGTATGCTGACTGACTTGGATGAGCGGAGAGAGGAGAGAGTGCAGCGAGACAATCAACATCTATTACTAAGTATGTCACTGTGACAATAACAGTCATGATGAAGAGAAACACCCTACATGTACCAGTACATTGACTTTGTACATGTGCCATGGCTGCACTGGAACGGGGAAGACAGGATGTCTAGAACCATTGTGCATAATCTACAAAACTGGTACATAAAGAGATCAGACAATACATGGAAACAAAATACTCAGTTAACTGTTTCAGCTAGATAGGAGTGAATACACCGCCATCGGCACTACAACATTACCATTACCAAGAGTACATAACCCCCCCCCCCCTACTCTTGCCATTACCACAGCACTTATTTCAAGTTATTTATACATGTATAAGCCGTCATAATTATCACTTCTATAAGGTGCACAGATTTAACATACTCTACTGATGGATTATAATTTACACGGTCTTTGTCAGCCGTCGGCCCGTCGTGCAAGGGTCACGTAATTGTGCAAACAAGGGCAAACATGCATGGGTCAACGACATGGCATGACCCGATGCCACTGATCGAGGGATGGGAGGGAATTTTTTTTGAAATGCATACCGTAGACCTACATGTACATGTATCTCGGGTCAAGAATGTGTCAGTCAACAGCAAAGAATTATTAGTTAGTTCTCAGATTGACAATGCTTGCCAGTCACCTGATGATCCACCTGATGCCAGTCACCTGATGATCCACCTGATAAGGTGTTGTCTAGTACTAAATGCTGCATGAGAAAAACATTTAACGGTGAAACGAACGTTCTACACTGGCCAACGGAATCCAGTGAATGAAGTAGTTCAGCCTCACCCGTGTGATAAACCCCAATGCCGCAATGAGAGTGGTCCATGTACAGCTGTACATAAATGTACATCGTATACCGATAAAACAACTCTTGATGATAATGAAACTGTGAGTATGCGGATTCTGGAATTTGCAAATAGGCATCAAAGACTCCCCTTCCAGACAAAACCACCCCACCATCCGCCTGTTTAGCCACATCAATCCCGAAGTACTCTACTAATACCAGGCATGTCCAACCAAACGTGGGATCTAGGGGGGGAGTAGGGACCCTGGCCTAGCAAACCCATGCACTTCCGGTATGGGTGTGCACCATGGAGTACCAAAAAACTGTATTTAGTACTCCCTGGTGTGGCTTCCCCGAAGTTCCCGAACCCGTTGCTATTTCGGGTGGTGGCGAACTAAGTTCCTTGACCAACATGCAATCATTGTTGTCCTAATCAGTACAGTCATGTCTTTGGATATCACCATGATCACATCAACCTGATCACGTGAGTGCGGACCACCCTAGCAACCACCGTAAATATCCTGCATTCCGCACAATTACCCACACCACGGTGCCGGTGCTACGAGAGTGTGACCAACATTGCAACAAGTCAGTGTGGAAGTAGACCACTTTCATACCTTACAAGTACCACGTTCATGAATGATTTTGTAGCGGTGCTTCAGGAAGGTGCTCTGGACTGAAGAGGCACACTTCACGCATAGAAATTGTACGGCTCCATTGTTTATTTTACCGATAGCGCTTGAGTGGCCTGAGTGATGCCTGGTGTGGAAAATGACGAAACTCCTTGTTTGGAAAGACTTTGCCTGGCGGAGTGTGTTTGGTCCCTTGCTGCCTTTGCTTTGGCTTTAGCTTTGCCTTCGAATGTCTTTCACAGCACGTGCGGCGTGCACCATGCACGGGCTGATTTGGCCGGGACGTCGGAATGAGTAACAAGCGCTTGTTAGGCCAGATGCAGAGGCAGACTTCCTGCTGTCGACATGTCAAGTGTATTAGTCATGTACTGTCATCAATAGTCGCCACATGCTTCTATTGCTTGGTCGTCCCACAGAGTCAGCAAACTCAGCACACCAAAAAGCGTTCGTTCGGGACGAAAGAGGTCAAACTCGATGCGCTCCACCTACTGTACCTTGGGCATCACGCTGTAAACAAGATGTGACCAAAATAATATATTCGTGGAAAACCGAAGTCAATCATAGGCTGGCAGCGACAAACTCTTCTAATATTAGCTCCAAACAAGATAGCTTCGGTTCTTCTCTCATGTCAGGAATGTGGATGGAAGCGGCAAAGCCCGTAGCATGTAACATGTTATTTATAAAGACAAAGCCATGCATGGTAACGTCTCTGAAAGTGAAAGCAGTTCTTGCATGCATACCATTTGGTCACTTGCATCCATAACGTGTCGTTTCATACTGCCTGGTCCTGGATCTTGGAGAGACAGACAGCAGACCCGAGACATGGGTGCACATGATTTTGGGGGACAGCAGAAGGTGAACTATTCAGAGCATTGGTTAGATTTCATTCAACTCAACAAACGCTACTTTCTACTTATTCAGCTTTCATGATGGTAGACTCCGAAAATGACCTAAACGGTACCCATTCCTACACTCGGCTAGAGATCAGGACATGCAGCGTATTGCATTCCTACGGAACCTTGCTATTACAGTATTAGTATTACTGTACTAGATGGGGCGACATGTTCACTGTCTTTGTGGTCCACTTCACAACAATAACACACACAGAAGTCTCTGCTGTGAGCACGGTGGCTCGGCAATGGCTTTATTATTGATATTATTATAATTTATTATCTCCTTCCTGATATTTTTTTCTTTTTCTCTTTTTCTTTCTTGAATAATTGTACGCATAGGGCCTGATATCATAAGAAAAATTAGCACAAGACACTGCTGCTACTGTAGTCGCGCAGCCAAACACACAGAAAACGACAAAATGTTACAATGAATGTAACAACACCCGTCCAAGCTAATAGACCGACATCCCCGCCCCAGGACGGCATCTCGAAACCCCCACACACTCACCACACGGTGATCATCCAGCTTCAGTTCAACCACTGTATTCTTCCCCTGCAGACTCAGCCCCCCTGTCACTAGCCATACAATCTGAAGTTGTATGTAATCATACAATGGCACGACGCACACACCACCCCTACGTTTTTTAACTAAAAAAGAAAAGCAGTCGTAACTGCAACAGCCACATGGCCAATAAGAAAAACCAATACGATGATCGATAAACACACACCCAGAAGTCAGGGGTGGGAGGGTGGTATACAAACTGCACCAACGAAAAGCCACTGCGAAGTGACAGGAATGCGGTCCAGCACAACATTTTTGCTAACGCAAAAAGTTGTGGGGAAATCCCAAAATCGGTGCGATTTTGCATGAGCCCAAATGTTCAAGCAAGAGTACAAAAAAAAAAAATGTACTCTTGGTTCAAGTAATTACAGTCCATTCATAAAAAGATGGGTCCTGGCTCTGGCGAGCTCCCGTATTTGGCGATTTTTCGTGATTTCATCGTACACAGTGCAGTGCTGCGAACTTTGAAATTTGAAAAAGGGTCCAAAAAGGGTGCCTGAACTGGGGTTCGAACCGCAGAATGCACTGTTGCAGGCGGGGTCAAACGGCCTGGATTTTGATGGCTTTTCCCAATTCAGTGCTTTTGGGGCAAAACCTGGCCGAAATCCTATTCTTGCTATGGCTTGCTTTTTGGACAAAAAAAACTTCAGAAACATAATTGGAAGAGGATTCCATATGGGATTGCAGAAAAAAATTCTAAAAAAACTCAACGTTTGACCCATGATTTATGGCCAAAAGCTAGAAGTTCATTTTTTTCTGAATGGACTGTAGTACATTAGTCTGTAGTTACCCACAAAGACACAAGCTTTCCAACTCTCTTTGGCAGTTGGAAAGCGTACGAGCTCGTACCGTCAGTTCAGATGATTAGTAGATCTACTGGGACTCGCGCTCGCCAGCAGCCACCCGTACTTCAGTCAGGTCGACCAGATGCAGTCTTATTATCATGAGTCACATAGTATGGCGTGGATGGCTACTGGAAAGTCTACATCTACAGACTGTATTCTAGGTCCCTATTGTATTGGCCTTAGATTGGTTTCTCTGCACGTGTAGTTTGTTCAAAGCCAGACGACAGCAAACTTATTGTGGTACAATCCTAATCTGGTCTTTGAACCTCACAACCAGCTTTACTTGAATAGTTTCAGTTGAACTCAGTGGTGCATCATGGTGCATAGATCTCACAAGAGATACATGTACATGCACATGCAGTATATACTCTACTTACACAGTATTTGTTATAACTCCCTGGTAAAGGAATTACACATCCTCCTCAAAAACACACAATCCCCCCCCCCCCCCCCCCCCCCCCCGGCCCGGCCCCACATGCACAGTGATGCTCAATGAAATCCAGGGTCGTCACTCAAGTTTGCGCCGTGCACCATTTCGCAGACCAGTGTTCGCAGGTCTAGGGCTGCGCAACGCCCGGCGTACTTGAGGGATGCGACTGGATTTCATTGAGCGGCACTGTACTAGGAAACAGAACGCTGGTATGATTGTTAGTCTAAGACTCTTCAATCGTCTTCCCAAAATAGACATGACAAGAACAAGTGCATGCGATCCAATAGAGGATCCATGGCCTCTGTACACGGCAAGAACAGCATTTGAAATAGATTAATCCAGTAGTAATACAACATACCGAAGCCGGCAGCTGCAAACTGCGAACGTACAGTCCTGCCAGATGATTATAAAAAATATGTCATTGCAATTGAAATATGCGTACATTAAACGGGGACTGTATGGACATGTTGACCAAGTTGCTAGCTTTGCTTGGTAAGCAAATCATTATATCTACCTATGACTAGAGGGAGAGCAGTAGAAATTCTCAGAAAGGCAGCAGCAACAAAAAAACAACGGACAGCAAAAATTATTTAAAAAAAGAGGAAATGATCTAAGAAAGCACACCTGCAGGAGTGCAATTTCGAATGTCTGTGCTCCCCAGTTCTCAGTCTGGGCATCAGGTCGTGGTAACAGAATAATAATATAATAGGACAACAGATGGGATGGGCTCTGTTTGATACAATTTCTACATGACGAAAAGCTAAATCATCAAAACACAGCGAGGACTTACTCTGCAGCTGCCTGGGCGCCTCGTGCGTCGCGCGAATAGAAGTCCGCAAGTGTACTCTGCGGGATACGCTTCAACATTTCCTTCGGGAAGATTCTAAGGAGCTGCCATCCGATGTCAAGTGAATCAAAGATTGTTCGGTTATCATATGCACCTGAAGCAAGCAGACACGAAGAAGCACCCACCACAGAGTTCATGTTTCGTGCGGAGTCACATGAAACTCAAGGACGGTGTGCTCGCCAATGGTGCCAGTACCACCGCTACAGCCCGTAGTCCATTGCAAGGCACAAGATGGATGCGTGGTTACCCCACAAAGGCCATTCGGACAGAGTATTGCCCCCTGGCTGACACACCGGGGTGATGCCAACGGTTATCAACATGCAACTCATGCCCATTCCTATTTATAAAATCAATACCGCCTCACATCCAAACCGGTGATCATTGCAACTAGCACGCTGCCCGTGTCTAGGCTGGGGGGGGGGGGGGGGGGTAAAATGGGGTCACCCTTGCCTTGGACTAGTTACTTGAAGACACAAACAATTACAAGGCTGAACGTGGACAATTCTGTTATCAATAGCCGAACATTGGCTTAGATTAAATAACCCTTATGCACATTGACGTCACATACGAAATCCCGTAGAACCCCGTAGACTGATGATCCCATAGAACCATGTAGACCCGGCTGGGTGTTGAATGTACAGGACCATACTGTGTTATTTCGTGTTTTCGGCTACGAAACGTTCCCTTCAGCCATTTCATGCACCAACTTTTTCGGACGAAGATCTAGCTAGTCATTAGTTCTATCAAGAGTAGATAAACAAGAGTGTGCAACTCAGCATATCTCCTGCACAATCTGCAGATACCCCGGCCCACGGCGGAATTTTTTGTCGACGTCACCTTTTTTCAGAAAAACGCGCATTTTGCTGCAGAGCAGTGTGAGAGCACGTGCTGGGCACCGGCCTTGTAATGTAAAGCCCGGCCAATTGCACGAGGCAAAGCATTCCAAAAGACTCGCAGCACGTGCGTCGTAGAAAAGATTACATCAACAAAAAATTCTGCCGTGGGCGAACCCACCCCGGAGTTGCACACTCTCATTTATCTACTCTTGGTTCTATCCAAACTGATGGAGCTGGAAAAGCGACTGGCTGTCACGAAGTATTGGGCTAAATTGGTCAAATGCGCATGTACAGCACACAATGAACACCCAACCGTGCATGTGCACACCTACGGGAATTTGTACATCTGTACGAGATGGTGTAACGTGCATAAGGACTATTCAAGAAAGAATACAACATCGCCTCACCCTGTGAGATGAAGTTCTTCTCAAACTTTCCAAGGAACTCCAGATAGAGCAAGTCATCGGGCGTGAGAGCTTCCTCTCCAACCACAGCCTTCATAGCCTGCACATCCTTGCCAATGGCATAGTTAGCATACTGCAGAAGGACACACACGCACACACGCACGCACGCACACACACACACACACACACATGCACGTACGACAAGCCGTTTTGCCCATCGCTTACTACCAAGATGAGGTAGTGATTTGCTTCATCTCATGCGACACGGGGATGCAAACATGTGGATAGTGCACATACGGCTACACCTCATAGACACAATAGGGACATCACTCAAGAATGCAACTCAGTCTAGTGCGACTCAGTCCATCATCGGGTTCATCACAGAACAGCGCATTGAACTAAATCATGCGGATTCATCAGCCCAAAACATACCAGCTGGTTCGACACATCCGAGTGATCACGTCGCGTCATGCCCTGACCAATGGCGGACTTCATGAGACGAGAGAGCGAGGGCAGTACGTTGATCGGAGGATAGACTTGTCTGTTGTGCAGCTGACGATCAACATAGATCTGACCTTCTGTGATATAGCCAGTCAAGTCGGGGATAGGATGGGTAATATCTGGGGGAGTAAAGCAAACAAGCGCAGAGTACTGATGACAACTGGCTTCCTCAGAATTTGACGTACTTGTAAATAACGTACAGTATGCGCCAAGTGGTCGACCAAGTAACACTTCCCTGAGTCCCAGGACATCATCAGAAGATGATACAGATACAGTCACTGTTAACTCAAAATTCACAAATTCCTACACCGATCGAAAAGCATGATACCCCCTGCCCCCCCCCCCCCCCCCCCCCCCCAACACAAACACCGAGAAGAGGGGAAAGGGTTCGATACACTACGAAATATAGTAGCACTGCACATGAGTGTAGGCTAAGACAACATCACCAAATCCAGTGGCTCACCATCATTAGGCATAGTCAAGATTGGAATCTGTGTAATGGATCCATCGCGACCTTCCACGCGACCAGCACGCTGAAGGAAGAACACGTCAAAGACCGGATAAAGGAACAGCATTATTTATACGACTTTCAAAATTGCAACAAAAACAGGATCCTGAAACTGTCGTCGTCTCGTCACTTATACGACTTTATCGAACCTTTAGCCCCCCCCCCCTGCAAGACCAATACTAGTATGGATTGTATTCAACGTGCTGCACTATTCAAGAGTTTGTACGCCAGCATGTCAAAATGCCGAAAATGAAGGGTTGAAGTGGAGTTACAAATCCAATAGTCAAGCTGTATTAGTGGCTGCCAGGCTAACTAACTTACTTCATAGATTGTTGCCAAATCAGTGTACATGTAACCGGGGAAACCACGACGACCGGGCACCTCCTCACGAGCAGCAGATACCTGAGGTGCACACACGGACAGTACAAGAAAGCAAACTTTGAAAAAAAAAACTAACAAGGTCGCTACTGGACTACTTGTGTAGAATGGGAAACTTAGTATAATAAAATTGAAACTTCAAGGGATCCAGGCACACCAGCTCATGAGTATAATACCAAGCAATGTAGACAAATCTTCTCATATAGGTAGCACACCAGGCCTCATTGTCCAACTTGCTTCCATGTAAGTGTTACCTGGAGGGTGACTTTGCTGTTCACTGGAAAAAATTACCCGACAATCACAATGGGACCCAGTACCTCCAAAAATATGAACAACGCCAGCGGACCAAATGACACCATGGATGGCCTTCACCAACAGTTACAAATACCGAACAGAGAAGAAAAAGATCATACCTCACGCAACGCATCAGCGTAGGAGCTCATGTCAGTCAAGATGACCAGAACGTGCTTCTGGCACTGGTAAGCCAGGAACTCGGCTGCGGTAAGAGCCAGACGGGGAGTGATGATACGCTCAATACTGCAGCATGAGGCAGAGAGCAAGACGAACAGGAAAACAAAAGCAAAAAAAGTTAGCGTAAATGATCAACACACAATCTATAATGAGTTTGATTTATCAAAAGTACTATTGGTGCGAGGTATCGTCAAGTCGGCAGTACCCTTGAACACCTGCCCCCCCCCCCTAGCACATTGTATCAATGCAAATCAGACTGTTAGGGCTAAACTCAAAAGTTGAAGATTGCAAAGCTGATACAATACAGTGAGAAGCATGCAGACCACAAAAAATAAACAAACAGTAGAATGAAAGCAACAAGGATCGTCTCCTAAGCTTACGTTGGATCGTTAGCCAAGTTCAAGAAGAGGCACACATTCTCCATGGAGCCATTCTCTTCGAAATCCTGCTTGAAGAAACGAGCAGTCTCCATGTTGACCTGTACGACACAAATGAGGAATTCATCATGAAATATTTACATCAGGCAACACTGCGTTCCATCCACTCATGCACACAAACACATGTAAACGATATCAGCCCTAACTGTGATGAAGAGCAGTGCAGGAAGGCAAGATGCAACGGAGAAGGGTTCATACTTACACCCATGGCGGCGAAGACAATAGCAAAGTTATCCTTGCCCGGCTCCTTCTTGTCCTCTGCTTTGCCATCATCATTCACGTCCACAAGACCAGCTTGTCTGCAAATCTGAGCAGCAATCTGTTCCACAAAGTATAGCAAGCAAGAAATTAGGAATAGAGGAATACAGCGATAGCCAGCAATACATCACTCGATCCACAGAACCAGCGCCGCAGCGCGATACGGCGCTCCAAAGCCAGCATTGCGAGCGCCCAACTCAAATTCTCTGCCATTTCAACAAATTGCATCGCAGATCGCTCAAATTTTTTTTACTGGAGAGCTGAGAAACATGCCTTTGCGATGACGTGAACTATCTGTAGCTGCGTGGGCCGCGAGTCAGGGAAAACCCCTAAAAACGAGTTCAAAATGCACGCGCTCGAGTCGACTCTGCTGAGCGAATTTAGTTCGAGTCTCGTATCTCCGCTCTCCGAACTCAGATCGCTTTCGGGTTTTTTCGAGCCGATAGCTGAGACAATTCTAATGTCGATAGCCCTTTCGATTGTCCGATTTGGTCAAGGGACGGCCGAGTTACGCCAGGTTGCGCTTTGAAAAGTATGCACTGTACACTGGTACGGATATATCCGTACTATGGGCCTCAAAGGGTTAATGCGAGTATGATTATTCAGGGCTGGTAATAGTGCAACTAGTTTACGGAGAGTATAGGCTGCATAACGCAGTTCTCCACCGGAACACACTACTCGGAACACACTACTCGGTCTTTACAATAAACTAGAACAATGCCACTCGTGCCACTCTCCGCATGAATTAGTGAAATACGGTAGATTCTTGATCAGCACTTACTTCGTTGTGAGGAAGACCGGCAGCAGAGAAGATGGGGATCTTCTGACCTCGGGCAATGCTGTAGCAAAGAAACACCAGCAACACAACACTGGTTAGTTGCTGCAATCATAACCGTCGGGTAAGAGCGATGACAGGAAATCGCTGCATGCATGCATGCACACATGTACACGCACACACACAAGCACACACACACACACACACGCACACACCATCACACACACACACCATACACACACACACACCATGCACACACACACACACACACCTTCCTTCCTTCTTCTCCACTGCCATGACTGGCTAAGTGGCCCCATACGGGGCAGCTCTTGGATTAGCGCTGTCTCCGGGAAGCGGCACCAGGACCCGACGACCGACGTGACGGCGCATTCCCACGGGTTATAATTGCTATTGAACGCCGCGATGTACAACGATGCCGTGCGATATCCTGACGGCGGCGGAAACTGCGGTTGCACACACCGCAAAGCAGAGGCTTGTCGACAGGCTCTTGACGGGCAAGTACAATACGATCCACCCCATCAAGGCACTGGGACCTCCACTCACGGCGATTACTTGCCACGTCGAGCCAGGACTCCTCGCGAATATTCGAACAAACTTTCCTTGATTTTTTGCTTTGGACGCCGTATTCAAATTTCCGTCAGTGTCGACAAGAGTCCTGACGTTCCACGTTCCCAGAGACAGAACAACCTTTCGAGCCGCTGGTGCACGCGAGTGAAAAGACTCTGGGCGAGGGTTTGCAAGACCTCTACACCCAGGCGAAAGAGCACACACACACACACACACACACACACACACACACACACACACACACACGACACGACACTGGAAGGGTATACAGCAAGCTGGCATCTCACCTGTTCATGGCATCAATAGCAGAAATACCAGTCTGGATCATTTCTTCTGGGTAGATGCGCGACCAGGGGTTGATGGGCTGACCTGAAGACATACATCCGATAACACATTGCACACATCAAATCCAGGGACAGCAGCACAGACTCCAGGGCAAAAGGCACAGTTATCTCTACAGTTGTACGTCCACAACGAGTGAAACCGTTAGAATGAGATAATGTGCATGCTCACACATGTACATCCTTCAATGCGGTGAACCCCTTGATAGGTGGCAAGGCCTTGGGTCCTCCTAATAAATACATTACTATTGTTATTACCCTATTACACTGGAGCATGCCCTATTCCACCAACTTGACACTTGACCGACTCTAAAACCTATCAAATCATCGCCGAAGTCGCAACCACTATTTCGTATTATCATCATGATCAGACACGGTTATAATTTATAAGCCGTTAGTTCAGCTGCCTGCTTCAACGCTATCACAGCAATCCCTCAGGCACATGACAAGCAGGGATGGCTGCAAGCCTACCTTGGATATCCAAATAGTCCTCGGCCAAAATCGGAGGTCCCTTGTCAATTGGCTTGCCTGATCCGTTGAAGACACGACCTGTGCAGACAAACAAGAATGAAGGGACGATGTTCTAGCATGTCGAGTCGATGCTCACCTTACATCGCCGGTTCCCTACACACCATCATTCTCAAATACCACTCATATGCAACCAGTGGTCAGGGTCATGCAAAGCTAGCTAGCTCCCTTACCAAGCATATCTTCGGAGACTGGTGTCCTCATAATGTCACCAGTGAACTCGCACGTAGTGTGCTTGGCATCGATACCAGCGGTACCCTCAAACACCTGGACAGTACATAGGAACAGAGCACATCTAAATCATAGCCGCGCGACGGTACATGTGACTACGACGTATCCATCAGACAGAATGGTTGGGTGTGCGTGCGTGTGAAGGTCATGCGAGTGTGTGTGTGCGTGTGTGTGTGTGTGTGTGTGTGTGTGTGTGTGTGTGTGTGTGTGTGTGTGGCGTGTGTGTGGTGTGTGTGGTGTGTGTGTGTGTACATTGTGTGTGTGTGTGTGTGTGTGTGTGTGTGTGTGTGTGTGTGTGTGTGTGTGTGTGTGTGTGTGTGTGTGTGCGTGTGTGTATGTGTGTGTTGAGGGGGGGGGGGGGAGAGGGGATAGTCCTACCTCAGGTGTGCAAGCAAGCGGTATAGGGTGTAAACACTTGCAACGTAATACTATAGCATGCCGTAAAACAGAGAAATTCACACGGCGGATGTAATTTCAAATATGCACAGTGCATTCTAGTTCCAAAGATGACATCAGTGTACAAGGCGCCACTGACCTGTACAACAGCCTTGGTGCCGCTAACTTCCAGAACCTGTCCCTGGCGTTTCGTTCCATTTGGCAGCGTGAGATTCACAATCTCAGCAAACTTTGGGAACTGAAAGACACAGAGTTACAAGAATGAATGCACGAATGCAGCCACTCAGGATTAAAGCCAAAGGGGATAAGCCAGGGGCAACATCCTCGTGCGCTGGTAGTGCCGCCGGTGCTCTGTCACAGAGGACACCCTCCGATGGTGGAATGCAGTACACGTACAATGAAAATTGTGGGACAACTAACCCGGGAAATAACCTACCAAATAACCTACCACAGGTGATGCACTAGTCACGAAAGTATTTTAGGAAAGACTTGCATCCGCTATCCCACCCACACCAATGGCCAGTGCAGTACCCTAACAAGCGCTCAACTAGTATCATGTCGCGTTGTGCGGCAGAAACTTGTGAGAGCAGAGAAGTGAATCTGCTGTGGCCAAAGAACAGCCAGCCCATCGATGAGCAGACCGGTAACAACAACAGGTCAGTCACCGATCCAGTGGCCCTTGATGCTGAAATGCCGGGCGAATGACTACTTTAGCCACAATGTGAGCTCGGAGCAAACTTTCTGATGGGCATGATGTGGATTCAACGTAGCATATCTGAGTGTGAGAGGGTCATATATCTTAAAGAGGATTTCAGAGTTTGGTGGTGACTGGTGAGACTTCTCATCTCTGTCTCCAGTGCCAGGTTCCACGCCCATTGGTGACGTGCATATGTGAGGTGCAAGCGGCCCATGAACGGAGGTGGAATGTTACTGTGTCTAATTGGAAATCTAGCTCACGCATATTGTGCACAGTAAGCGGTGGAAATCATGTGTCAGCATTTACCTACAGAGATAGCCCTATTTATTTCACCACGGAAAATTCATAACACATTTACACGTTGAATGTTGCAAAATTATTTACCTTGACATTATCCAAGATGACCAGTGGACCGTTGACACCCGACACAGTTTTGTACGCTGTAGCACCGCACCGTAAGCAAATTCAACACGCACGCATCAGTCATGTTGGCCATTGGAGGAGCTTTGGAGGTAGACAAAACCCGCCTATGTTGTGGCATTCGGGGCTGACCCACACTGAAGCCAACTTACAATGTACTGAGTATCGTATAGTACGTCAAATATCACGAATATTCACACTCTAGCAACGAAATCGCTAGCGAGCATGTTTCGCCTCCGCGTGCAACTTACTGATTTTCGGCTGGTTGTTGTAGTTTTTGGTGACCTCCAGGACCTGCGTGCGGCCCATGCCCTGCACCGGGTCGAAGCCCCCGAGAAGATCTCCCGTCGCCATTCTGTCAGTTGAGCAAGAAGTGTTCTAGAGCATGCGCAAGCACAGGAAATATGGCAACCGCTGTCAACTCATCATAGCTCAACGTAAAAATGAATCATAAAAGACATCACGCGCAGAACGCGTAGCAGGGTTGAGGCAATCCGCTTTCGATTTGAGATTCGTCCTCTTCGCTAACTCTTTAGCCTTAGGACGAATGTTGCATGCTCGATTCAGTAAGACAAGAATGAAATCTTACCTGTAGCACGTTGAGTCCAACAGCAGCAGCAGCGGCGGTTCGTGGTGCTGGGAATCGTCCTTGTATCACTCGCTGCAGCAGAGCCTCTCGTTTTGCTGTTCGTCCAAGGTCCATTCAATGCATCTATCACACCTGCTCTCCTTTGGCTTTAGTGCTGGGCAAACTGACTGACTTGTGTAGTGTCCTTGCTCGCTGCCCTTGCTGTCGATGACTGCGCTCTGTCACACTTGGATGGTCGCAAGCATAGCACCAAGCAACCGGCACAGCGATGCTCGTTGCACCGGGCCATGCGCTTCCAAGTAGAAGCCGCACTGCCACCATGGCCACTGGCCCTTCCATTTTTTGCTACATGTCATTGTACTTTGTAGTCATTGTACGTATTAGTACTAGTGTGGTACATGACAATCATTGTATTACTGACTCTGTACAGCTAGCTGGATGCAAGTACATGTATGTTGTTATGCTGTTCAAGAATCACGACCCTGGCTGGTCTGTTGGCATCCAAAGACGTGCAGCTTGTGACTATGAGTATGACACAGTACAGGAGGGAGAGACACTGAGCAGTTATCCATGACGGCATGAGTGCTAGTGTATTCTGAAAAGTATCTCGTGTATTACAATTTACTACAGATCACACCATTGTAGACATTATTGAAACAATTATTCCCGTAGTATGAGACGTTACTTCAGTAACGTCTGGTACAATCCAGGGTCCACACACTACGACAAATTTGCTATTGACGGCAACCCCAGAACAACATGCAACCAACAGTGCAGTGGCAGTGTACTTTTGACTGTGCATTGTTGCCGCCTCAGCGGCCTGTAGACGTCTTTGTGCGCTAGGAATTCTTGTTTTGGATAATAGTTAACACTGTGATGATGCCATGTACAAGCTATTAAAAAAAGAAGTTGCTAAGTACATGTACCGGTGCTTGCAAACGTCCTCAATAAGTTACTGCAAGAACAGAGATGACACCAGTCCGCAATGGCGAAGTGTCGTTATACCCGAAGTCTCATTATAATGTATTACAGTTGGATGGGACTTTGCCCTGGGCAAGGAAATTCTGTTGTTATTTGCGAAGTGTCGTTATGCCCGCAGTCGTTATTAACGAAGTTGACTGTAGAAATTTGTTGTTGCTCTGAGTTTCACGGCACTGATTTGGCCAAAATTCAGTCAACAATGATGATGATGGTGCCTCTGCACCTAGGGTTATAGCCTATAGGGTTGGAGACAGGGAGTCGTATACTGGTATACGCCGGTCCCTGGTTGGAGAGGAGCGGGCATACTGAATTGGCCAAATTGCCATGCCATTGAAACCCATAGCATTAGAGCAAAATATGTCGTGCTCCACTGCGGACTTGTGATGTTGTGAGATAATACAGTCATGTACTACTGAGAGAGTGTAGTATGTAGGCATTGGTACAGCGACACAGACCAACAAGGCCCAAGGCATGTATACAATAGAAACCAAAGCTTCTGTGCATGGCCAATGACAAGATTTACCCAGAAGCCAAGATGGGAGAACACACGTCACGGGAAAAGTCGATACAGTCATGGCACATACTGTACAAATTATTTACATGCACACCATCCATACTAGCAGGACAACTGTCATTTACCTAACTTTCCATATAAGGAAGTTGAGAAGTTCTCTTAAAAAAAAAAGTAAAGTATATTATCGTGTCCGTTCCCGAAGGGAACTCACGACAGCCGCTAACACCCGGTAAACCCTAGCGGCAGATGCAGTTCTCTTACTGTATTAAAAAGAATTTAGTAGTTGTGGACATGGGCACACACTACAATGACCGGTCGACCGGGTCCAGCGCTCCTAATGTGTACAGATCACTGTGTCGAGAGCTCGTACAGTACCACAAACAACCGAACGGTGAATGCGTACCAGATGTGCGATCGTACGCATACATGTCCTTTGCGCCGAGAATCGGAGATGTTCCCTATCTTGGTATTATAGGCTAGATATAGATATGGGCATGCCGGAAAGGGATTGTAGTATTGTAACATTGTAGTATTTTCGTACATAGTCATACACATGGGTGGGGGGCTGCAAGGCCAACATCAAGTCCAGGCGAACAGTGGAGTCATCGTTCATTCTTGTCGGGGTTTTGTCCCAACATTCTGAAGAAAGGTTTTTCCTGTTGCTTTTACTGCTCTTGACCTCAACAATGGTCCCAGAAATTAGCTCGGCATGCAATGATAGTCACTGGCTTAAACATGCAACTGCACATGACGACGTCAACTACCACAGATGCCACTTCGAGCAATTATAAGTTTTTTTTAAGTGTTCTGACCCACAGGATCTAGGATTGACAAATCGACGTGAAAACAAAGACTAAAACGTCCCTACATCGCGGTAAAATATATATTGCGAATAACAGGTTGTAGAAAATGAGCAGTAAGAATCAGTACGAAATGTGGGTTTAAAAAGCAAACAAACAAATGCCACAGACACAATAGGTGACCACTGTTCCAGCTAAAAGCAAAGAAATTTAACCATACATCTAACTACTGGTATGTATGCAACCCAAGCATATTTCATGACTCGATGGAGGTTCATTTATAGATGATACCTCTATCTAGATTTTAAGCGCATGGAATTAAGTAAGAGCTTACCGAGATCGCTGTTGGTAAGCGGTCAGCGTATTTTTACAAAGCATAGCCACGGTCATAGGGCCGACACCGCCGGGAACTGGGGTGATCAAGCCCGCCACCTTCACCGCCTCGTCGTACCGTACATCGCCGACGATCTTCATCTTTCCGTCATCGCCCTTGACCCGCGTCAGTCCGATGTCAATGACCGTGGCTCCGGGCTTGATCATGTCACCACGAATCAGACCCACGACACCGGTGGCGACAATAATGATATCAGACATACGACAGCATGTCTCCAAATCTTGCGGTTCTGTAAAGCGATGACACTGCAGCACTGTAGCGTCACCACCGCCATCAGTGTAACGGCCATCAGAGTGAAGGAGATTAGCAAGCGGGAAGCCGACGTTCTTCGATCGTCCAACTATGGTAACAATCTTGCCAAACGTCTCCACTTTGTATCGCTTCAGCAGCTCCATTACTCCAGCTGGAGTGGCAGGAACAAAAGATTTCTGGCCCATAGCAAATTGACCCATATTTGCTGCGCTGAAGCCATCCACGTCCTTTGCTGGATCAATAGCATCACAGACAGCACGTTCGTTCATTCCATCGGGAAGAGGCAACTGACAGAGAATACCATCTACATCAGTTCTAGCGTTGAGGTCAGCAATGAGACTCATCAGCTCGGTCTGCGTTATGCTGGTGGGCCTCAAGATGGTCTCATCCAGCACACCGACTTCACTGCAAGCTTTTCTTTTCGCCTTGACGTAAGTAGCAGATGCTCCATCTTCCCCTACTAAGACAACAGCTAGCTTGGGCTGTCTTTCACCCTTGGCAATCAGCCCATCAATTTCTGACTTTACTTCCGAGCGGATTTCTGCAGAAATCTTTTTTCCATCGATGAGTTGAGCATCAAAACGAGTTGTGGATACAGTGAAATTTCTGAAAGCAGCTGCACTCGCCTTCGTTGCACTCGAGCCACATGACAGAACGCGGAACGCTGTCCGCGAAGCTCTTGTCAAGGAAGCCATGGCGAGTCAAAAAACTAGAAATTAAAAAACAGTCAAATAAGAGCTGAAGCAAGGAGCATGGGGGCCTTGCCAGCATGGATTGGTATGAAAGATGACGCTTCTTCCCTCCGTACCAGGGAGCAGACTACTCCCTGCTCTAGCTCTGTACAGACTGTTGCCTTGAAAAATGTTGCTCCTTTTTTGAAGTTTTGGACTTCAAACATGTCACATGACACAAAAAGCTGACCTCATGCGCTATGGCCGGGATACGTCGTAAAATTACGGCCACAGACTGAGAGCCTCGCGAGCATGCAGTTGCCCCAACTAACTTGGCCCAAGTACCTGAGTACCCCGTGAATCAACATAATGCACTGATTTGGGCTCTAAATATTATTTCCACAATGTTCGGCTCAGCCATCCCTCCCCCAGGAGTAATTGTACTTCAGATGGCTGACCGTACCACACTAAAATACCTTCCGACGCCCCTGTTTATGGACTTAACTCACCTACCTTCTATTACTCTTCCCCGGGGGAGTCACTGTACATGTATAGCAGATTGCCAGGCGGGGGGGGGGGGGGGACAAATTCTGGGGGGTAAGTTTACTATATTACACCGGAAAGGGAGTACCATTGTACGTTGTAGTATTTCTGTACATAGTCATACACACAGGTGCCGGGGTGTGTGCGTGGGGAGGGGGTGGGGTGGTGGCTGCAAGGCCAACATGATACATCAAGACGTACAGGTGAACATGTCCGAACAGTGGATCATCGTCATCGTTCATTGAATTATTCTTGTCAGGGTTTTGTCCCAATGTTCCGAAGAAAGGTTTTTGCTGTTGCTGTTGCTTTTACTGCTCTTGACCTCAAGAACGGATCCAGAAATTAGCTGTGCATGTAGTCACGGGGTTAAACATGCAACTACACATGGCGACATCAACTACCACAGATGCCACTTCGGGCAACTTTTTTTTTTGAAGTGTTCAGACCCACCGGATCTAGGATATTGGGTTGATAGGATTGACAAATCGACATGAAAACAAAGACTAAAACGTCCCTAAGTAAAAAGTAAAAAAAGTAAATTATCGTGTCCGTTCCCAAAGGGAACTCACGACGGGCGCTAACACCCGGTAAACCCTAGCGACTCGTCCCTACATAGTGGTAAAAATACATATTATCTAACAGGTTGCTGGTAAGCGGTCAGCGTGTTTTTACAAAGCATAGCCACGGTCATAGGGCCGACACCGCCAGGCACTGGGGTGATCAAGCCCGCCACCTTAACCGCCTCGTCGTACTGTACATCGCCGACGAGCTTCATCTTTCCGTCATCGCCCTTGACGCGCGTCAGTCCGATGTCAATGACTGTGGCTCCGGGCTTGATCATGTCACCACGAATCAGACCCACAACACCGGTAGCGACAATGATGATATCAGACATACGACAGCATGTCTCCAAATCTTGCGGTTCTGTAAAGCGATGACAATGAAGCACTGTAGCGTCACCACCACCCTCAGTGTAACGGCCATCAGAGTGAAGGAGATTAGCAAGCGGAAAGCCGACGTTCTTCGATCGTCCAGCTATGGTAACAATCTTGCCAAACGTCTCCACTTTGTATCGCTTCAGCAGCTCCATTACTCCAGCTGGAGTGGCAGGGATAAAAGATTTCTGGCCCATAGCAAATTGACCCATATTCGCTGCGCTGAAGCCATCCACGTCCTTTGCTGGATCAATAGCGTCACAGACAGCACGTTCGTTCATTCCATCGGGAAGAGGCAACTGACAGAGAATACCATCTACATCAGGTCTAGCATTGAGGTCAGCAATGAGACTCATCAGCTCGGTCTGCGTTATGCTGGTGGGTCTCAAGATGGTCTCGTCCAGTACACCGACTTCATTGCAAGCTTTTTTTTTCGCCTTGACGTAAGTAGCAGATGCTCCATCATCCCCAACTAAAACAACAGCTAGCTTGGGCTGTCTTTCACCCTTGGCAATCAGCCCATCAATTTCTGACTTCAGTTCCGAGCGGATTTCTGCAGAAATCTTTTTTCCATCGATGAGTTGAGCATCAAAACGAGTTGTGGATACAGTGAAATTTCTGCAAGCAGCTGCACTCGCCTTCGTTGCACTCGAGCCACATGACAGAACGCGGAACGCTGTCCGCGAAGCTCTTGTCAAGGAAGCCATGGCGAGTCAAAAACTAGAAATTACAAACAATCAAAATAATTCAGAGCTGAAGCAAAGACCGTGGGGGCCTTGCAAGCTGCAAGCATGGTTTTGACTTTTGTATGAAAGATACGCTTCTACCCTCCGTTGCCTTGAAACTGAAACTAACTGTGAAAGGGATTTGTTGCTCCTTTTGGACTTCAAACATATCACATGACACAAAAACGCATGTATGGAAGGCTGCATGCTGACCTCATGCGCTGATCATGGTCATGATGCATGCGCGATATGCATGCTATATATTGCCGATACGTATACGTAGATCTACGTCGGTAGATCTACGCGGTACGCATAATTATGTGCATGCATGATCCATATAGGGCCATTGTGCATCGTCGACATCGCGATATCGAGCGCGATGCATCATGCATGCATATGCAAGCTACTATCATGTAGCTCGTAGATCTCTGCAAGCATGCATTTTTTTGTAGCTACTATTATAGTACTACAATAGTACATCATCAGTACATGCACCATGCAGCATCATGATCAACCAAGAGTAGAATAAGAGAAAAAGAGAAAAGAAAAGAAAAGAAAGAATAGAAAAATAGATCTATGTACTTCAGGGAGTCGTCAAATACCGGTATTTGACGACTCCCTGATCGAGACCTCATTATTTTGCCGACGTCAAAAAATCAAAACAGCGAAATAAAAAGAAGATTGCTGATGCCGATGACACGTACCTCCACACTGCACTGTTCACTGACGTACACACAGACGATCTACAAGACAAGGTGTAGACAGCAGTCACATCTTTTTTTGTATTTGTGTTCCCTATTTTCGAATACGTAGCTCTTTTGTTCAAGCAGTAATTGAGACATTTTCCAGCAAAGAGATAAGGCTTTTAGAGTGACCGTGCTGTTTTTCCTGCCTGGTGTATGAATGGAGACAGTCCGAATTCAGTTTCTGGATTTTTCGAAAAAGAACAGAAGAAATTCAAGACAAAAAGAGATAATAATGATGAGCGTCTCGTCCGCCTGTGACCTTCAGTAACCTACTGGACGTTGGTGTGTTAGAAGAGTATACCAAGCTCAGTGCAATATGTCTGGCCATTATTTGGATTTGTCCGCCAACCCGCTGAGATTTCAACCGATTGGCAAATCAGTAAATGTGTTTTTTGACGAAGCCAATCGTCAGGTGGGTGAAGAGGGTGGCATAGTCCATATGTGTATGTGTGTGTGTGTGTGTGTGTGTGTGTGTGTGTGTGTGTGTGTGTGTGTGTGTGTGTGTGTGTGTGTGTGTGTGTGTGTGTGTGTGTGTGTGTGTGTGTGTGTGTGTGTGTGTGCGTGTCCTGCATTGCGATTGCTACATGCAGTGTAATTATTAAGGCCACACATTTTTATTTCTATGTTTCTCGTCACCCGCGCGCATACGATTCAGGAGGAGTCTGGAAGAAAAAAAGAAAAAAAACTATGCTGCACTGACTGTGCATGTGGGGACCACCACACTCGTGCACATGTACATAATTTGGCCAGGCCTGCGCGACACATGATGCGAGGTCGGCATTTTTGGCGCAATCTAGCTGCACATGCACAGGTTGTAATAGAAGGTCCTACCACATACTAGTTCCTAACTGTGGATGCTATTTTGCATGGTGTATTGGTGGATTTTAGTGTGAACAAGGGTCTAGTAAACTTTTTTTAAATTTTTTGGTCATTTTTTATTTTTTTTCCACTCGCATACGTTTTTAGATTTTCAGGTGAAAAGAAACATTGAAATAAAAACGTGTGGCCTAATATTCTTCTTGAAAAATGTCACGAGGTCATTGAGGAGATGCATTCTATTCTCTATCATAGACCTAAGGCCTGACAGGAGATACAACCGTGAAAGATAATACGTAAACTGCAGTAATGTGATAATGGGTCATGCCACCAGTGCATGTGACCTACATACAATTGCTCGTCTAGATGGTAAAGTGCATGTAGAGTATGTCGAGTTCCGCCCAGACAGGAATCCGTCAAGTACGGAACTACAGTCAAACCTCTTTAGGACGAACATCAAGGGACCGATGATATTTGTTCGCAATAACGGGAGTTCTTCTTCTCCATATGTTTTTCCCAGTGAATACACAGGGTTTTATCCAATACAGTTACGAATACTAGTTCTTCTTAGGCAAACATTTGTCTTATCAGTGTTCTTCCTAACGAGGTTTCACTGTAGTAGTGAAAGGCATTTGTATGGTGTCGCTGCAATGCTTTTGAAAATAAGAACACGGTTTTTTTCGGTCCGATTGGAAAGATCCAAATACACATGAGTTATGGTGCATTCACGAATATGCCAAGTGTGTTCAAACAGCCACCATAAAGGCCCGCTAATTTGTGCGCACTATTTTTCGGTCTGAGTACATGTACCCATCCCGGTACTTATTTTGGGGGCATTGCACTTACTTTCTGGATGAGCATTCATTTTCGGTTACGTCCTAGCAGCAGTCAGGAATTGCATGTTATACAGTGCTCGCCGCACATCGTGATCCAGGCATGTGCTATGCACTCGGCCAGGTTTTATTGTGTGGGTGGGTGTGGGGAGGGGAGGGGGGGGGGTACTTTTGTGTGGGTTGTGCTGGTTGATTTCTACTATTGCCCGAACACACATTGACGGCAGTGGTGAGCGCCCGGGATTCATGACAATCCAGTATGTTAGAAGCGTCCACGTAACCGTCGTTTGCCGTGATCAGCTTCAAGGTTGAATGCCGACAGTCGTAGTCAGGACATGGTGTAATTCTTATATATGTACTGTGATTTCGCAAATTTACAGTGTCCTTTTTATTTCCGGTACTTTTGCCGAATCTCTTTCTTACCTAAAATGTCAATAGCCGCACAAACACTAACAGAAAGCATCCAATAGGAACTGCATCTCTGTATACATGTACCTGAAATTTCACCTAATCTGAATTCAGTCCCGGCTGCTTCAGGACTGAATTCTCGGCTGCTTACTCAGTTGGTAGTGAATTTAGTGAACCTGAGGCTGCCATGAGGTTGATCACGAATCCGTCCCACACTACGCAAGATTGTGATGGGCCTAACCTGCGTCTTCTTATCCCAGTGTTGCATTCCATTTGCGACAATTTGTACATGACTTCTATAAGTTGCAGAGTCGAAACTAACAACACTTGTGGTGATGTCTGTTCCCTTTTCATCTAGGTGTTTGCAGTGAATTCTGGTAACTCAGATATTGCTGTAACCAGCTGGGACACCAGAAAAGTCGCCTACATCAGGTCAGTGGCCTGGGTTGTGGCAGTGTTTGTCATGTGAATCTATCTATCTATCTACACAAGAGAGAGAGAGAGAGAGAGAGAGAGAGAGAGAGAGAGAGAGAGAGAGAGAGAGAGAGAGAGAGAGAGAGAGAGAGAGAGAGAGAGAGAGAGAGAGAGAGAGAGGAATCTGTGTTGCATCTATCTATCTACTTCCAAGTATCTATCTATATATCAGTTTCCCGAGGATTGTGATTTAACGTGATACTCTACGTGTCTCAACAGAGCTCTCTCTCTCCCTCCCTCCCTTCCTCTGTGTGCTATTGCTCGTAGTGTGAACATCTGCATGCTGGTCTTCCTCTCTTTTGTCTATTTTACAGAGTACCTGAGACAGGGCCTGTGTTATCCATCAAATTTTCTTTGGATAAGAAAGTCCTTGCTATTCAGCGTTCAAGCCAGCATGTGGTACGGATTCAATGTCGTCATCTGGTTTGCAAGAGGCTGTGTGTGTGTGGGTGTGTGGGTGGGTGGGTGTGGATGGTATGTGTGTGCGCATGTGAATGCAACAAACAATAGGGTGTTATAGGCGATTCACACGACAGGCAAATCCACGTGCACCGGAACGTTGCTATGGTATTTCACCTGTGAACGAGAAAAGTGGCAAAAGTGCAAGCGAGCTGGGGACCCACTTTCACAATAATCGTGGCGTCCACAAGTACATTTACACCAAAAAGCGCGAAACAAGACTTGTTGATTTTTTACGCGCCTCTTTTCACCATGATATTTATTGTATGCATGTTTTGAAAATTTGAAATACTCATGGCAACTGGTAGGTGAATCACTCAAAGATGCAAACGTGCCTGTTGTTGAGTGCAGCCGTGTGAATCCACGCAGTCACTTTTCTGGTGAATCACTCCCTGTAAAACGTGCAAGTGCCTGTCGTGTGAATAGGCCGTTAACTTCAAAATTACAGTAGGTATCGGTTATAGCGTGGGTGTTTGAAAAACGACTTTCTATTCTTATTTCCGATATTTCTTACACATGATAAATCAAGTGTGACATGGCATATGCATGTGCACAGAGGTAGGAAGGCCAGCATACATGCAACATATCGCTGCTGTGCAGGCGGGTGTTCATAGTCCCATAAGCTCACCATGAGTTATATGACAACAGCAGTTGAACCTGCAGCACTACGATGCAATGCAAGTCGGATCAGAACTGCATTGGACAGATGTTATTACTACAGTAGACTCGTACGCCCAAGAACGTCCAGGCTGGAAATCTAAGAACGCCCCAGCCTGGATTTAAGAACGAACTCCAAGATTTTTAAGAAGGCGACATTTTTTGGTACGAAGTGGGAGCTAATAACTACAATGCAATCTTCTGAAAAGGAGAGAGAAAGAGACGTGATATTTGAGCGCTGGTTTGTTTTGCAAGCAGATTGCACCTTCATGATCTTGTCCGAGTACACGAAAAACAAGTCAGCAACCACAAACTCTTGTCGGGTCCTCGCGAAAACATTACCCAGTGCAGCGCTACATACTACACGTGCATGTAACGTGTACAACCGGTACATGTAGCGCAAAGTGCATTGTACATGAGCGTCACGGGTCATGTTGGACGCGTAAGAATGCGAAATAAGAACGTAGCCTGGGGCGCTGAAAAATAAGAACTTTGCTAGGCTGGCCCTCTGAAACCGCGTTCTTGGGCTTACGAGTCTACTGTACAGGGCCACAGTACAGGCGATACACTTTGTACTACTACTAATAGTCTGGCATGTTTTGCTACACAAGGTCCATTCCTAGGACCGATATATTCTACTGTGCGATAACATTGCTTGTAAGAATAAATGTTCACTTGAAACCCATGTTATGATTATGAAAATATGAGAGTTCATTCTTGTAGGCAGTATATTAAAATGTTTACACGACCACGCTATAACCGCTACGCACTGTCCATACATGTAAGGCGTGTATTTGTTACTTTGTCTCTTCTTGAATCTCATCATGATATTGCTAGTGGATGCAAACGTACGTAGTGTCCAAAAGTCTGACGTTTTTGTACTCCTCTACTTTGCGTCAACAGGATTTTGTTAACCTTGGCAAGTCCGGTGATGCAGCAGCCTACTCACAGCAATGCAAGGTATTCTTCCATAAGCGGTGATTCTTAGGATATGTGCCGTCCTTTATCTTATAGTTTCTGCGTATGCTTAGAATTGCATCGATCCGTATGATGTTCCGCCCTTGACCCTAGAGTCTCTGTGGGGGGGGGGGGACTGGATGTGCTTGTACTCACTATACAGTGAGTGGATGTGCTCTGGTAGCTCTGCATCAGCTAAAGGAGACATTCTCCTTAGCTACGGTGCTAAACTATTTGTATTTGTATTTATCTTCACTAGTTTGAAGGAAAGACACAAACGGAAAAAGTCTGAAGAAAAAATTGACTGTCACCACCAGGACTCGAACCAGGGACCCTCGCTTGTAGCTAGCGATGCTCTAACCACTGAGCTATGGTGTAGTCGTCATCCCAGCAGAGACTGTTCAACATTTTCTTCAGACTGCGTAACTCCCACTTCCTGTGAATCCACACAGGCGGGTGGGACGCAGCCCTCACTGTACCCACACACTTCACGTACACTCTAGCACGCGGGGAGCCCCAAGTCATAAAATCTTCACTAGTTTGAGGGAAAGACACAAACGGGAATTTGTATTTATTATAATTATTTAACCGATTCTCCAGAAGCAATAAATGTTTATCGAGGGGGTCTCGTGGAGGACAAGTAATATCCTGCTCAACCGGCAATAAAGGAATGCCTGTACCGGCAATGAAGGAACGCCTGTACTTGGACTGCTGATGTCTAACAATGGCTACGGCATTCTCTAACTTCTCTTATACCCCCGACTTTACCTTTCCCAGGGCAAGACGACGGAAGTGCGCAGCTTTCACTGGACCAATATCAATGAGATTATTTTCGTGACAACGCAAGGAGTGGAGTTCTACCAGGTGAGCAGGACGCGCAACCGTTGGTTGCACTATTTTAAAATTGATGGAGCTGCAGGTGTGTATTATTATTAGATGATAGGTGGTAATGCATAGGAATATATGTGTTTGTGTTGCACTGTGTTGTTCTCGGAGTTAACCTGACAGCCTCAAAGTCGCCGTGGCAATAACGGACGTGCATGTGTGTGTGCGTGCATGCGTTTGCCTCTCTGTGTGCGTGCATGCGCATGCCTCTTTGTGTGCGTGCATTAGGTGTTTCCGGAAAAACGCTCTTTGAAGCTGCTACGGTCCTTTAGCGTCAGCGTCAACTGGTTTGTGTTCTCGGTAAGATTGGCCCGTGTGTGGTTGAGGAGTGTCAATACGGAGACTGCAGTGCAGTCCCTGGAGCATGATAATTATCCTAATACATGTACATACATGTACAACTTGTAGAAGTGCAGTATTTACGAAGAGTCGAGTCGTCCCCCTAAGATAGTGGAATGAGGTTACGGGTTTCTCCTCCTTTGCTAGCCGGTACAGATATACGTATAACTATACTGAAGGGCACGTAAATGGGAGTAACAGTTACGGTACTCAAATCTTCATATGATCTCCTTCCATACCTTCATCTTATAAGACTGTGTAGCCCGTTGCATGCGATTGCGTGTCTCTCACTGCACTTGCTTGTCGCTTGTACTTAGCTGCATATTGACCTTTGTGAACTGTGCATTTTACAAAGTTTTGATTTTTCCATCTCCTGTAACCGAGCACTGTGCGTTGTGTGCTGCATGCTGTGTTGTGCAGCCGCTCAAGAATGTCCTCCTCTTGTCAACGTCGTCAGCGGGCAACACTATTTGCCCGTTCCACTTCAGAGTGAGTTGCCTGCTCCCGCTACCTACAGCACAGTTAGAATCATTTTTAACGTGGCATAGTACAGTACCAACAAGCTGCTAATGGGAGCACGATGGCCTGCTCCAAACAATTACCTGCCTGAAAACTGCATGAAGTTGATTTCGAAGACGAGGACGTCTTGCCACTCAGGCTTAATTAAATCAGTGCCGTGGAACCAGGGAAGTTCCTGGCTCGGCGTACGGCATGACTCATTCGAAAACCCTCTATAGGATTGTCGTAGATGTGATCGGTTAGCTAGTGCATTAGGTAAATGTCATTTGGGTAATGATGCAGCGTGCCATGTTTGCTGGGCGCGCGCGCTGTCCTCCGCTCATGCTCAACTGAGTGCACATACATGTAACCGATAGTGCTACTGTCACTGCTTGCTTCATTTGTCTGACTTTCGCTATGATTTATGGTCTATACTGCATGTATGTGTCCATGTGTGTACGTGTGTGTGTATGTGTGTACGTGTGTTTGTACTTGTGTGTATGTGTGTGTGTGTGCATGTGTACTTGTGTGTGTATGTGCACACATGTGTGTGTGTGTGTGTGTGTGTGTGTGTGTGTGTGTGTGTGTGCATGTGCATATATACTTGTGTATGCATATGATATAATTATGTGTATGTGTGTACAATGTGTATATTTGTTGGATTGCCTGCAGCCTCAGCAAGTGACTAGAATGCCTAAATTTGAGATAGATCTTCCGCCGCTGCCCAAGCCGAGCAAAGCTGACAAGAACGCGGCGCCTGCTCAACCCGCTGACAAGCTTCGTCTTCTGGACCGTGATGTGACCCTGGCATTATTGTAAGTACAGACTTGAGAAGCCCATTTCAGTGTCCCCCTCTCATTCTCTTTTCCTCTCGTGATCATGCAGTGATATTTGCAAAACTACCAGGGAGTTTTGCCAAAGTTGTGTACCGTCGTGTGCATTTCGTTCAGAAAAGATGCTGCTGCTGTTGAGCGTAAATGGGTTGAAGGTTGAACTTTCTTTTGACTGTTCTTGGCAGTCCAACGTGGAGTGGTCTTCCAATTACATGTACCTTCTTCAGGTCTTCTCCGAAAGGTGGACCATAACAAAATTAATGGTCCTACTAGCTTTTGTGTATTTTGGCCGGATTTACCACCGATAAATGTACACACATGCAGGTGTAAAAACCCATTTCGGGTCGGATTAGAACCAGGCTTTTGGCCCATTTTGGCTAAAATTGGTTTTGAAGAGCCCATTTTCGAATCGGCCAGTGACTGCTATGTCTTACTCATGTTCATTGCGCATGCTTGCCTGGTCACATGTGCCAAGTCATCACAGGTGAGCGGCTGCAATGCAGAGTGCTAGGGCGCCGAGACCATAACAGCAAAGCGAGGACGCATGAGTGCATGCTCTCTCGTTGGCACATGAAAATGTTCGGCACAACAGCTAGCTGGCACAATTAGAGCTACACTTGTGTGCACCTATTTAGACCCAGGTAACTAAGTTGAATGAAGAGAGTTGTAAGCATTGAAGGGGTTGCCAAAATGTATTTTGCAGAGGAACAATAATTTGCAAATGTGTCCATATGCCTGTACGTATGGGTGTGTGTACGTGTGTATGTGTGTGTACGTGTGTGTGTGTGGGTGTGCATGCTGTATTTGATCGTCGCAGGTATGGTCAGTTGTATGTGGTTGTTGTTCGGAATCAGGCCCGGAGCTCGGGCATTGGTGCAGAAATTGTCCTCTATCTACTTACCAAGTAAGTCAACCTATTTTGATAATGGTCTGTTCTAAGTTGTGACAGGATTTGATGTTTCTACGCCACTGGTCCTGTCAGGTGTGTTCATTTTCTGGTTGTGTGGGTGGTGCTGCACTAACTGTGTAATTTTTTAAATATTTTTTGCTTGCAGAGATGTGCCAGCAAAGCGCGTTGCTGTACTCAAGCTTGACATGAACGGCCGATTTGCCGTCAACACTGTCGACAACTTGCTCATCGTCCACCACCAGGCGTCCAAGACGTCTGCGGTCTTTGACATCCGCTGGGCAGGAGACTATGATGGAGCGATATCACTGCATCATCCTGTCCTGGCCGCTTTGCCCATCTCTCCCGTGACCATACCAGCGCAGGAAACCAAAGGTATGGACGACGGCGGTATTGGTGTACCTCTCCGATCCGGAGACCACGCACGTCTGTCCTGTGTAGGCATGTGTCCTGTTTATGGACACGTGACAAGATGCACACATCCACCGTTTGTAAATGAATGTGTCCTGGATGTGAAGGTGTGTAGTAGGAGAGGATCTGCTGCACACTCTCCCATCATCATAGTCTTCTTTCCACATACTGTAGGCCCACAATTAATGGGGCTGTTTTTGCTCATATCCCATCCAAAAATAAATAGCGAAGAAGATGAAGTGATGGGTAGTAGAGTGACTTAGGGTGCGTTCTTAAATCCTCTCGGAAAAGTTGGAGACTCTCGGAAAAGTTCGGGAGCTGTTCTTATATCCTCTCCGAATTTTAGGAGGCTCTCCAAAGCTCTCCAAGCTTCAGAGGTGGTTGAAACTTGGAGATTCCCACGGTTTGGGATCAGCGCATGCGAACTACAGCTAAAAGCATGTGGTGATCATTGTAGTGTACACATTTCCCTTTTTGCATACGCACAATGCGTACTACAGTACATTCGTGGCACTCAAGATCGCGGGCCCCTTTGGCGCTTCATATTGCTTCACATGTGCAAAATATCTCCGAATTCTTCGGGACCCGTTCTTGAATTATGCCAGTTTCTTCGACTCCGCTTTTCTTCTTTTCCGAGAAGCTAGAGAATATAAGAACGCACCCTTAGCATATCTGCTGGTCACTGTTTTCATGCCTTGGGTGGTTCAAGCATATGCACAGCACGGTGATGTGTTGTGTGGGCCTTGGCTGCAGGTGATTGCCGACACGTGTTTATTGTGCATGTTATATCATGGTTATTGTGCATGTAGGTGAAGCCCCGGCAGCGACAGCAGCGGCAGTTGCGGCACCCACGGCGGCGGCGGCAGCAGCGGCGTCAGTTGTGCCAGCAGCAGAGGCAGCGGCAAAGAGTGTGTCTTGCGAACTCTGTATCCTTCTATGCTTTGAAGACTGGAAAGTCACATACCGGTGCTGGTATTTAATGTTGGAATTTCTTTGAGAAGCCATATTGTCCTTCAAATTCGCCCAAGATTGGGTGCATGCATAGTATCAAGACTTCAAGAGTACTCTTGATCGTGGCCTACTGTGTTCAGCTCTATGATGTCACTAGCATTTCAGCAGGTAGTCACACTGCTTGCACCAGGTCTTGTGCAACATTTGAGTCTGAACATTTGGGTCTATGAACACCCCAAACTAAGAAAAAGTCATTCAGCCAAATGCGATCCTTCTTCCAGTTAGTATCAGTCTGTGTGGTGGATGAGTTAGTCATATTTTCATCACGGTTAGCTTATTCCTTGACCAGTCAATGACATTGTCTGCAGATTCTCCCAACTGGGTCGTATTCCAGCCCAACATCATCATCGACGCTCGCCTTGGCTGCATGTGGGAGGTGGAACTCAAACTCGAGGTTCTAGTCTCCATGATGGCAGACAAGGTATGTGGTGCATGTGTTTTGTTGGCCTGGTGTGAAAACATGGTTCCTTGCCTGTTGGGTTGCCCTTGACGATAGCATGTGTACGCGTATACACGTACTCTATCGGTGAAGCTTAGAACTTTTGAACTACCTATTTTGCACTGTGTGCCTGTCAGAGGCTTAGGTTCTTGTTGTACACTTGCAGAGAAAGACTTTGGTCTTGGGAGGGGGGGGGGGGGGGGGGGGGGGTTCTCTTTTCTCTTTCACTGCACACAGATTTTTTTCTTTTGGTGGAGGTGGTGGTAGTGGTGGTGTCTTTGACGGGCTGATACTTTTAGTTATTTCTTGATTAGTTCTGATCTCATCATTGTTTGTTGGCTATTCTCTTGTGTGTGATGTTCTGCTTTTGCCGCTCTGCTCGTACTGCCTTTGTCTACTGCAGAAGCAACTGATTGATTTCTTGCTGCTGCGAAGCGATAGTAAAATTGTTATTCTGGATGTCTGCAAGCAGAGTGAGTGTTAGAGATTGCTAGCCACAGTGTGAATCCCTCAGACTTGCTAGGCGCAGTGTGCATCGCTCGCACTTGAGCTACCAGTTTCATGCCCAGGATTGCTGAGGCAAATCGACATCCACTTATTGTGGAGTCTAAATCTCGAGTTGGACTGGCATGTTTTTGAATAGCAAGACCACTACATTGTAGTTCACTTCTAGTTGCTAGGAGAATTCTGATCACTTGCTCTGATCACGGTTTGTTGAGAGTCTCTTTATCTTTACCCTTGCTATAATCAAGCTAGGCACTAAGTATTGTGAGCTTTCGGTGCAGATGTGTCCTTGGCATGTCATTGAAGACGCTGAGTTGAGTTGACTTTTGCCATGCCCTCGTACAAGTAGTTTTCTTGCGTCGTGTTCATTCCAGGCTTGGTACCCGGCCGTCAATCCAGCCTCAGCGTCATTGCCCGGGTCTTTGATACGCTCAATGCTGTCTACAAGGAGCACCTGAAGCTGGCAACGGCGCGCTCGTCAACGGTAAAACCTCTTCGATTCTTGCTGCATGTGTTACACTGGTGGCCTCAGTCGATTTGTATGCATGTGTTGGCTTCAGTCTGTTTGGATGCATGTGTTTTGCAGTGCGTATGTCCTTGACATGTTCTGTAGAAGTATTTGGGCTTTGGCTGTCAGCTCATGCACTTGGGCAATATGCAGCAGCGTGTATGCTTGCTGTCATGTATGACCAAGTTGCTACTGTTGGTGGTGATGGTTTTGGTGTTGTATGCTTTTTTTGCGTGTGGCTTACAGAGGACGGACGACCGCAGACTAAGCATATCGCCGCAGGTGAATGACATTTCATTCTCGTGCGTCATTGACCAGCACGATATGTACAAGCACGTCCTGTCACAGGTGGTTGATATCAAGGTTAGCATCTGCCTGTGCCCTGCAATATTCGCGTGTTGTAAACTGGCTGTGTGTTGTACACAGGGCTATGGGAGCATCTGGCGATTCAGCTGCTCATGCCCTGCATCAACTGCCAACTGCGTTATTCTTTTTGAGAACGTGTGAATTGCAATTGACTACGGAGACTAAGTGAATAATCAGCGTGGCCTGTTATCTATAGTTGTCAATGTTGCGTGTGTATCGGTGCTGTGGTGTTGCGGTGTATCGGTGTTGTGGTGTTGCGGTGTTGCGGTGTATCGGTGTTGTGGTGTTGTGTGTGTATCGGTGTTGTGTGTGTATCGGTGTTGCGGTGTTGTGTGTGTATCGGTGCTGCGGTGCTGTGTGTGTATCGGTGCTGCGGTGTTGTGTGTGTATCGGTGTTGCGGTGTTGTGTGTGTATCGGTGCTACGGTGTTGTGTGTGTATCGGTGCTGCGGTGTATCGGTGCTGCGGTATTGCGGTGTTTCTCTTCTTCTGTACAGAGTATTCAGTACAAGTTCATGGTTGCAGTCATCATTGAGTACATTCGCTCTCTGAACAGCTTTCAGATTGCAGTGCAGGTAGGTTAGCCGTCTGAGACTCCTGTACGCATTCGACTGCTCTCCGATCCATTGTGACTTATAACGGCTAAACTATTGGCTAGCATTGTACTGGCAACTGCACGCCACATTCCAGCTGTGGCTGGCTGTGCTATAGCCAGTAAAGGGTTGACAAGTGCATTGCTGCAGGCAGAGGGCAATACTTGAAGTCTTGGGTGAATAGCTTGCCGACCTGATCTCTCTCTCTCTCTCTCTCTCTCTCTCTCTCTCTCTCTCTCTCTCTCTCTCTCTCTCCCTCTCTCTCTCTCTCTCTCTCTCTCTCTCTCTCTCTCTCTCTCTCTCTCTCTCTCTCTCTCTCTCTCTCTCTCTCTCTCTCTCTCTTTCTCTCTCTCTCTCTCTCTCTCTCCCTCACACTCTCTCACTCTCTCTGTCTCTCTCTCTGTCTCTCTCTCTGTCTCTCTCTCTCTCTGTCTCTCTCTCTCTCTCTCTGTCTCTCTCTGTCTCTGTCTCTCTCTCTCTCTCTCTCTCTCTGTCTCTCTCTCTCTCTCTCTCACACACACACACACACACACACACACACACACACACACACACACACACACACACACACACACACACACACACACTCTCCCACACTCTCAGACACACACACACACACTCTCTCTCTCTCTCTCTCTCTCTCTCTCTTTCTCTCTCTCTTCTTTACTTTTCTTTACGTAGGTGATGATGATCTTTGTGATGAAAAAGCAACTTGTAATGCCATGTATCTGTGATGTATTGTTTTCAGCATTTCCTGTATGAAGTGGTGATCAAGCTCTTAGTTGAGAACAATCAGTTCTATCAGCTCCATCAGGTAAAATACAGTGCTGTTACTGCTGCTGCTTTGCGCGACGTCGAGTTTCGCCAATTCTTCACACATTTGAGAGCAGTCATCTGGGTTGGAGTCTGTGGCTCTGTGTGTGTTTGGATTGAGATATTGTATCTACGTAGTGATGAGGTGCTGCTGTGTAGCTTGCCCGGAAATGTGTGTTCCTCCAAATCCTGGCAGGCTACCTTCAGCCACTTGTCTTATTAGTTTACTTATCTTTGTGTGTGCATACAGTGATGTTTGAAGCGTCTAATCACGATCAGTCAGCATCCTCACCACCATTTTGCGCAGACGTTTTCTAATGTTACCTTTGTGTATATGTGTGTGTATATGTGTGTGTGTGTGCGTGCGTGTGTGCGTGCGTGCGTGCGTGCGTTCATGCTGTGTGTGCATCCATGTGCACGTTCGCTGTGTGCGTATCTACAGTTCCTCCAGTACCACGTATTGAGTGACTCCAAGCCATTGGTAAGTGCCTTCGGAATTCCTTCTCACCACTCTGCTGGTGTTGCACACATATTGTCGTGATACTGCATGCGTGTAGTGTGCCACTCTGTGAATACTAGTGAGTCTGCAAGAGTGGAAACTACTATACAAACGGGGCTGATGTATGACCGGAACAGGACGGTGAACCAGTCATTAATTTACTGTAGTACACTTGTAGGCCAGGGTTTCGTATTGCTTGTATTACTGGAGTGGGGCCGTGCAGTAACACATGTTGATTGTGTGTGTGCTTGTGTTCACTGTTGACGTGTCTTTAGGCATGTTTGATGCTGTCTCTGGAATCGGTCTACGCTCCTGCATTTCAACTAGCCCTGGACATGCTCAAGGTAGGCTGCCTGACACTATGTTCCCGCTCTCTACCTGTGCGGTGGTATATAAATGCCGGCAGTGCTGCATGTGCTAGTATGCTATGTGGGCAGTCTCTTGGTTTTGTCATGCCGGCGCAGTTCCTGTACTACAAGTTGATGGTTTATATAGAAGCCTTGCTTGATAGTTTAACATGTTGGGTTATGGGTGTAGTCAGGAGCACTGTGCGTCCTCCCCTTGTAACATGCTGTCGGAATCGAAAACAAGTGGATGCTTGTACAGGTTATGCAGTGTAAGTTACAGTTCAACCTCGCTTATCTGGACACCACTGGGCAGGGACCCGGGGCGGAGTGTCTGGATACACCCATTTTTGTCTGGATAACCCAAGTAGTTCGCTAGCTGGGGCCCGGATAGTTCAGGTTCATGGTCTTTTTTTCATTTCCACGTATTGTGCATGTGTGTGTGTGTGTGTGTGTGTGTGTGTGTGTGTGTGTGTGTGTGTGTGTGTGTGTGTGTGTGTGTGTGTGTGTATGCATTTGTGTGTTTGTGTTCCTTTATCACTCCACACATGCAGAGGTTGTCAACGGTTAATGATGACATTGTGGATGTTCTTCTGTCGAAGAATCAGGTAAGCTATACTCCTTGGTCTGGTCTGCATCCGCTGATCACTCTGCTGTTGGTGCGTGTAGACATCTCAGCCTTGCTCTGAAACCAGTAGCCTCTCTTCTTTAGCCCTGTCAGCAGGACTAACTTAGGGATTAGCCTTGCCCATGTGCCTTGTTCATTTGCTTAGATACCTGGTTTGTGCCCTGTGGGACTGATGCCTGCTGTTCCAGTTATACCTCCAACAAGATGATCATGCTCTTGTGCCACTGTTCATGATTCTCCAATGTTATTTTGCAGCGGTTTTATTGTTGTTCATGAATAGCCGGGATAGCTCGAGTCCTTGACTTGTCTTCCGTAGTGTGAATGTACATGTGCATGTACATGTGTGTGTGTGTGTGTGTGTGTATCTGTGTGTGTGTGTGTGTGTGTGTGTGTGTGTGTGTGTGTGTGTGTGCGTATCTGTGTGTGTGTGTATGTGTCTGTGCCTACATGTACCCTTCTCCTCCGCCAGCTCATTCCTGCTCTTCGCTTCTTGCGCTCCAATGGCCGAGAGGACAGTGTTCCTGCTCGCTTGTTCTTAGAGGCTGCCGCTAACAGTGGTGACAACGCACTATTCTTCACCGGTACGTCGTTGACTGCTGCTACCTATCCTACACACACAATGCTGACTTAGTGTGCTTGGGGGCCCGGGGAGCAGTGTCTTCTTTCTGCTGCTTGTCTGAGCGAATTGCTTACACATTCTTTGTGTGTACAGGGTTCTAGCCAGGTCAAAATAGTAGGGGGGGTGGGCATGGGAAACAGTTACCCTATATCCCATTTTTCCACTTTCCAATATTGTTTTGCCACGCCAAATGCAACGTATATGGGGCGAATCCCTGACTTCACCCCAGACAAATGTGCCTTTATGAACCATCTATGCATGAAAAACACGAAAATTGGAAAGTGATTATGGGGGCGGCAATTTTTCACAGGGGGGGGGGGGGGGTGGGGGGCGCTGCGCCCCCCCCCCCCCCCCCCACCCCCTTTGGCTAGAACCCTGGTGTATGTATGTGTGCTTCTGTTTCACTGTGATGTGCAGTTTACAAGTTCTTTGAAGAGCGTAACATGCGGCTGCGAAGGAAACCAGGCTTTTCGCCCGGTGAGTACCCTTGCTTTGTTATTTTCTTTTATTCCCGTAGCTATGCAGAAGACGTTACTTCAGTAACGTCTGGCGCTAGCCAGGGTCCACACAGCTTTAATTCCTGTAGCTATGCAGAAGACGTTACTTCAGTAACGTCTGGCGCTAGCCAGGGTCCACACAGCTTTAATTTGGTGTTTGTTTGTTTGTTTGTTTGTTTGTGTCACGCCTGGCGCTATCCCGTATCTGTCCCGTACTGTACCGTACCAGCAAAGACAGCGGGCCACAATATTTTTGTTTGTTTGTGCCATCGACATGCCTGGCGCTATCCCGTACCTGTCCCGTACCATCAATAGTACGGTACAATCAAGAGAATGAGTATATATGCGAAGTGTATCGGGGGAATGCATTCAGTGCAGTAACATTTTGTGTGGATTTGTGTGCGAGGCCGAGATCCCACTAGCAGGCTGGCTGGGCCGCCTATCGACCAGCCCGGGAATCGCATGTAGGCCGATAGCATAATAATTATAACATATATACAGTCATGAAGATGTATAGCAGGGAGTCAGCAGGGAGTCATATTATGTAAACGACTCCCTGCTGTATGGGGAGATTTTCTGTAAAGAAATACGAAGTAGGGAGACGAGTAAATGCAATCAGAATGGATGTTAGTTGCCGTCAGTATAATAATAAAAAGAAGAAGAACGCCCGTGATCCGCAGAGTCAGCGCCGGTCCCAGGAAACGTCAGGACAGACATCACGTCGACTCCAGAGCACCCGTGATCGGCAGAGTCAGCCCCGGTCCCATAGCTATGCAGAAGACGTTACTTCAGTATCTCATTGAAACGTTTTTGCAATACAATGATGTAGCTAATCAAAGGAAAAAGCATTTCCATCAGTTCTAACAACATGCACGATGAGCTAGGCAACAAAGCATAGCGCAGGGCCCTGAGCTTGCAAGCTCTCTCGTTTGGTATTTGTGTGTTTGTGTGTTTGTTTGTTTGTGTCACGCCTGGCGCTATCCCGTATCTGTCCCGTACTGTACCGTACCAGCAAAGACAGCTGGCCACAATATTTTTGTTTGTTTGTGCCATCGACATGCCTGGCGCTATCCCGTACCTGTCCCGTGCCATCAAGAGTACGGTACCAACAAGAGAATGAGTATATATGCGAAGTGTATCGGGGGAATGCATTCAGTGCAGTAACATTTTGTGTGGATTTGTGTGCGAGGCCGAGATCCCACTAGCAGGCTGGGCCGCCTGTCGACCAGCCCAGAAATCGCATGTAGGCGGATAGCATAATAATTATAACGTTTATACAGTCATGTAGATGTATAGCAGGGAGTCATATTATGTAAACGACTCCCTGCTGTATGGGGAGATTTCCTGGAAAGAAATACGAAGTAGGGAGACGAGTAAATGCAATCAGAATGGATGTTAGTTGCCGTCAGTATAATAATAAGAAGAAGATAAACTTCCATGATCGGCAGAGTCAGCGCCGGTCCCAGGAAACGTCAGGACAGACATCCCGTCGACTCCAGAACGCCCGTGATCGGCAGAGTCAGCGCCGGTCCCATAGCTATGCAGAAGACGTTACTTCAGTATCTCATTGAAACGTTTTTGCAATACAATGATGTAGCTAATCAAAGGAAAAAGCATTTCCATCAGTTCTAACAACATGCACGAGGAGCTAGGCAACAAAACATAGCGCAGGGCCCTGAGCTTCCAAGCTCTCTCGTTTCAAGTGTTGTCGTCGAACCACTTTATTCGTGTCACTCACCAGCAGTGTCTTACCGTGCAACTGCATGCTTGTACAGTAAAGTCGCACGCCGAAAGATGTGGAGCCCAAGAGTGTCCAGTCTGAAATGATAAGAATGCCACAGCCTAAAGTTAAAAACGGGGGTGTTGGTTTACGTGCTATAAGAAGAACACAGCCAGATTGTTGAAAAAAACCCCAATAAGAACGTCCCAGGCTAACCCCCTTGGAAACAACGTTCTTGGGCGGGCGCGACTCCACTGTACTAGGTAGTAGGTACCCATTGCAGTACAGTCAGACCTCGCATAACCACACACATCCGTTTTCCAGAAAAAAACCGAATAGGCGAGGGAACCGGATAATCGAACACACATACTGTGTGTGTGTGCATGGCATATGCTGTACATCGGTATCCAACGATTTTCTTCCGGATGGCGAGGGATCCAGATAAGCGAGGTCTGACTGTAGCACTGTCTCTCTTACATTGCTGATGTTGTCTGTCTGCTCCAATACGGAGTGAATTCTCAGTTTCTTGTTGAGCAGCTGTGCTGAATGAGATTGTTCTGTTCTGTCCCCACAGGATACCGCGGACGCGGAATTTTCCCGCGTTTTAGAGAAATTTTGCATAGAACCCGCGTTGTCCATTGGAATGTACAAGAAAAAGCACTTGATGTTGAAAATGTATTACAAAGTCATACCTGCCCATGAGTTTGTATGGCAAAGTTGCATACTTGCATGAAACTATACGCCTAAAGCTGTACCGATGACAGATAACTCGTACATAATGACCGCATTATACCGCTTATTTGCAGCTGAATGAGATTGTTCTGCATTCTGTGTTGGTATGCAGCGGACCACTGCGACCAGTATGTTGCGCTGTTCAATTCTCTGTTCGGTGATGCGGACACCCCCAAGCAACAGGTCAACATACCACATCTGCTGGAATAAGACACTCGACGACACAGCGACAAACAAGCACACACCATCGATCAGCGCAGTACTAGTATGGTCATCTGCTGCCAAGGCCTCAGTAACCCGGTGCGTTGGCTCATGAAACGAAGAGAGAAAGGTGCCTGCTGGCCAGTCACTTTGTTCACTTCAGCCCCCCCCCCCCTCCCCTGTATAGCACCACACTCTTGAAATACTCACCTTTACATGCCAGCAAATTGGAACGCTAACAATATTCTCTGCATGCAACACCATAGGAGTTTCAATCATCCAGGTTTTGAATAAAACACAAAACACACATGCCATTGTTTGCTTATCTCTCATAGCATTTTATTTAACACCGCATCTTCTGAAGAATTGTATATTATGTATGTTGTCAACGTACGCCATATCGAAAGCGGTGATGATTTTGATTTAAAAATAATGGGTTTGTACAGTTAGTTAACGACGGATATTGGTAGTACATTCTACACATCGGAGTTGTTCCTTCTGTGCTGTTTCTAATCGTAGTTGAGTAAATCTTATCATGGTTGCCAGTTACGCTGAAGGAAGAAGATCTGCTATGGGATGGTTTACCTATGGGAATAGTGAGTAGGAAATCAATACGGTTTAGCGAGGTGCAGCACTGCCGCACAAACAGTAAAAACAAATGACATTGCGCGGTCATCATGGTTATGCAGCATCAGCGTATATACACGCGCTATATACAGAATAGGGTCTGGTGGGATCTGGTCTTTCAGTTAGGCTCTCGGCGCTCTCTCACACACACAGTCATGCACATGCACACACACACAGTCGTGTTCGCCTTCACTAGTCCTTGGCATCAGTAACGCCGCTGTCAGCAATTGCAAACATGGCCTCAGACTCTGGCAGACACGGCGAGTCGTAAATCTTGCAGATACGAGTCTCACCGCGTCCTTTTCTCAAGTACAGCCTGGTGAACACAAGAAACAGGCACAAAAAAGGATCATCGCTCAGTTTGTTTTTGACTGAGAACATACAACCCCAGGATTGTACACTTCCGACTGTCCTGGTCCAGTACTGGAACTAAACTTGTGAGTAAGACAGAAGTTGCATGGCACAGACTGTGATGGGTGAGCGTAGAGCAATCACTCACTCACATGCCTGGAATGACCAGACACATGATGCCAGGATACTGCAAGTGGCACCAAGAGCTTTGCGCACTAGAGTGCCTGGTAACAAGTTCGCAGACATAATGCATTGCCAGTCCGCCCAACTCGGCGGAGCAAGGGGACATCAGCTGAGCGACTATTTACCTGGTGGTCGATGAATGTGCCATGATATGTCCACCGATTGGTTTCTTGGGATCCGACGTGAACATTGCAGCGCCGTCCACTTGCGCCACCACCTGGTTTGTTATGACCACCGCAACCCCAAACTGCAGAGAGAACAACGGCAAAAAGGACAAAAACATGCAGACAAGAGCAAGCGTGTCGGAATGAATCACCATAAACATGAAAGTCAGAATGCAATCACTCGATACCGATTCTGAGACTGTCTCACATCACAGAGCACATCACAGAGCACATCACAGAGCACATCTCAAAAGCTACTGCTACAGTGATACTGGCACATCACACAAATCTCCACAGAAACAGGATTTGACTGTTGAAACTTGGAAAAAATTCAGGCAAAAGAAACACGCATACGCAGTGAGTGCGTTCGATTGCACACTTGAATCGATTCATGAATGGAATCTCGCCGTTCGATTTCATGTCATGAGCCCTATAATTGTAGAATCGATTCGGAATCCATTCACCATATTCACATGGGGTGATGTGAATAGCCGGGGGCGATTCATGAATCGATTCGCCGGCATAATCGAACGCACTCACGGTGCACACACATACATGTACATCTAACCGATACAAGAGGACATGAATTATCAGTTCTAAATCATAAGACCCTATATTAAACGAGAGAGCTTGGAAGCTCAGGGCCCTACGCTATGCTATTTTGCCTTGATGACCTAGACAAAAAAAATGCATAGCGATGTTATAAATTCTTTAAAAAAATTCTTTTTTTATGACATAACCTGGGATTCGAACCCGCACTATCGCGCGCCCTGCATGCATCCCCCGATACACTTCGCATACATACACTCGGACGTCACTTATCCGGGCACCTTGGGACCGGGCACTGCTCGTATCTCAGATTTGCCCGTATCTCAGGATAACTCATCTACCATGTATCATCTCATTTTTTGAAGAAGTTTATTTGGCCCGTATTGCACATGTTCAGGTTACAGAAAGAATCCATTGACAAAAAGTGTGGATTTCACAGGTTGGCAGTGACAAATAAGCACTTGCGCATACCAAAAAAAGTTCCAAACCCCAAATTCAAAGCATTTTTGGCATAGGAACTCAAGCTGAAGGTGCCCGGTAGAGAGACGTGCCCGTATCTGAGGCGTCCGGATAAGAGACGTTTGAGTGTACTTCCAAGTTGTTTCACATTGTGATCTTGCATTTGAAAGCCCTATTTGAATATGCATTGTGGCCAGCCGTCTTTGATGGCACGGTACGGTAGGGGATAGGTACGGGACAGGTACGATCGAGGGTAATACGACACCGTCTTCCGTACCGTACCATCAAACACAGCTGGCCACATACAGCTGCCCGCAATATTCAAATAGGGCTTTCAAACGCAAGATAATAACGTGAAGCAACTTGGAAGAATGGGTATGAATGCGAAGTGTATGGGGGAATGCATGTAGGGCGATAGTGCGGGTTCGAATCCCAGGATATGCCTGAAAAAAAAAAGGAGAATTGAAAAATTTATAACATCCTATGCTTTTTTTGCCGTCAGATACGGATAGCGCCAGGCGTGACACAAACAAATACCAAATTAAAGCTGTGTGGACCCTGGCTAGCGCCAGACGTTACTGAAGTAACGTCTTCTGCATAGCTACGGGAACAAGAATCTATAACCTGGCTGAAATCAACACTTGGCTTTTACCCGCCAAAAGAGGGCAGCAACTGTGAAGCGAACAGAAGCCCAACGTGGAGAAACTGCCCAAACTCTAAGAGCTTGCTGTAAACGGCAAGAGAAATCGGACAGCTAACCTACACTACACTATAGAGCTAGAAGGAGCAAGACTATCCCAAGAGTCAATAGTTAAACAGATTCATTCAATCATGGGTGACTGTTGTTGCACTAGTACACAACCTACCTCGTCTGCCAAGCGCAGCAGTGAACGCAAGAAGCGAGCCAGATGCATTTGGCGAGAGGCTAACTCGCCACGCCCGCTGTAGTCGGTTCGGTACAGAGCTGTTGCACTGTCCACGATCAGCAGAGCATATCTGAACGCATGCACACACACGCACAAACAAACGTACAATACCGAGAACAGTACATCAGTCATGCCTGCTCCCCAAGGTCTCATTCCTAGATGATCCCCACCGCTGCATTCAGGCAAGAACCTCCTTGGTACCTGACAAATTACTCGTGGAATGCACAATAGAATTTTCTACTAGTAACAGATGCCAGGCAAGCTGAGTGAACATACCTCGACTCCACCATCATGGCTGATGCCTGCAGGAGAAGCTGGGACTGGTGATCGCTGTTATACGCGCGGGCATACGCAATGTTATCAAGAACGTCGTCACCTGATAGGCCATATCTGCATAAGCAGAACAACACACACACACACACACACACACAAACCCAAAGTATAACAGGGATGAACAGGATCAAGAACAATCGCAACGTGGCCAATATTGGAAGACATAATCATGCGTATCACTACTCAACAGCTACAAGGCGTTGCTTGAATCTTGGGCTCCTGTTACGGGGGAGCAGGCTGCATCCAAATGGCAGGTAACAAAGCATACACTCGAGAATGGCGGTGCACTACTGGATGGCGGCATAAAAATAGGACCCGCCAGTACAAGCACTGAACAGGCAGAGCACGCACCTGTCAGCAACAGCCAAGAGTCTTTCCGGCCGAAATGTTCCTTCCGTGTCGATGTAAAGACATTTCCCTTCACCGCCGCCACGATCAATTGGAAGCTGGCCAGAAAAACAGAGGGTGGCAAAGATTCAAAACGATATTCAATACACTAGAATGACTAGATGCCTGTTGACTTCTACATACACAGTGCAACAACATCACAGGTGTACACTGGTCTTTTGTCAGTAGACACCGCTAGGGAGAAGCAGGCAAGTCTCTAATCCAGCGAGAAAGTCACATAGACGCCTGTTTTGAATACAAGCCTGGTTTTTCAAGATACACTGGCGGCACATAAGCCTGGTTTTAGTGTTGATATATAGAGATACCTGGTTTGAATAGAAGCCTATCCCTGACATCAAGAGTACATACCCCCCCCCCCCTCCCTCAGAGTGTGCAATGCCTGGATCAGCCCTGCATGGGGTCTTGGTCGAGCGTAATCGGATCTTTGCGTCTTAATACCGTACAGATCTGTTTCCGGGCACGTCCCGGTCGCGAGCAGGGCATTTCTGGGGTCCTGGCAGTTGTACCAATCCCGTCTGGAGTCCAAAAGGTCTTCCCAAACACACTGAGATTGGTATACATAATATCACAACCCCGTAGCACCCGTACAGTTTGTGCATTCCAGCGCGACTTTTCTTCACCAAAATACCCCAGACGCTCGAGTCAAAAACAAAGGTGCCCTGCCTCGCGCTGGTGTGGAGCGTACGCATGACATCAGAAGATCCGACTACGCTCACCCAAGATCCTATGCAGAGCTGGATCATGCGTTGCACACTCTTGGGGGGTTATGCGACATTACGGTAAGCACACCATGTCAGTGAAAAACTGCCACTCACCTGGCAAGTCACTGCCAGTGTGTGGCACAACTGCGTCTTTCCCGTCCTGAATTCTCCAAACAGCTCGGTGATGGATCCAGTCTCAATACCACCTGCACAGAGGCAACCGTCAAAAGGCGTCATACACAACGATAAAAAAAACACAGCAAGCATGTGACATGTAAATCATATCCAGGCTCACAACTAGGGCTCAAACGGCTAGTCCGATTAACCGGTTGCAGACCGGTTACGAAGAATTAACGGTTAACCGATAAAGATAACGGTTACGCAGTAACTTTCCAGTCAATTTTTCAAGTATCATGTCGTTGCAAATTATGCACTTTCGCAGGCTGTCGCACGCGTACGCAATTTCTGGGCTGTCAACTCGGTCATATCTGGTCTCTTGGTGTGAGAGTATGTATGAATGAGCATGCAAGAGAATGTACATGTGTGTGTGTGTGTGTTGTACTGAATAGGGTACATTTTTTGAATGAGTATGTCAAATATACGATTAAGAAAGAGTCCGCAGGATTGCCGTGGCTTATAGGTTATAACCGTTAAACCGACCGTTAGCTTAGCAGTTAACCGTTAGGGGTAAAACCGTGACCGTTTGAGCCCTACTCACAACCTACCGCCCCACCCACCAGGGCCACCTTTCAACAGGGTGCTGTACACCTCAGTCAAGGCAGGCCATTTGACTTAGCCCGACAACCTGATATAGTATACATACCAACACAACCCCGAGTTGGCCAGCTGCTGTGCTCACATAGCGCCCTGTAAAGTATTAAAGCTGCCCGGTCCAATTCTCAGCGTTCAGTCTCTCACCCGTGCTTCCCAAGGAGGGTGCTGTGCTTTTTCATACTTATCTACTAGTGACAGATGCTCTCATTGCGTTTCTTCGTGTACCCACTATATTACTCAGGGAAAAAGAAAGGAAAGCGCATGTACCTTGAACAATACGATCATGTATTAAAACAAAGCTTTTTGTCTTCATACCTTGAAGTAATTTATCAAGCTCCTTGGATCCTGTTGTGACTTGTATGATCTCAGCGCGACGCTGATGGAACTCAGTGGCTGTTGTGAAGCCCATTGGCACAAGCTTCATTGCCTCTGCTTGGATTTTATCTGCCTTAGCCTCGCTTATGCCTTTTATTGCCAGCAGCTGTTTTTTCGGAGCGTAGGCAACAGACTCGACAGTGTGGTAGCCAGCTTCTTCCAGCTTCTTGATATCATTCGCCGATATTCCATTTCCCTGGAAAAGATTCAAACCAGTTGTGATTAGTGAAGGCTGATGGCGAACTACGCCATACCTGACAGTTCTCATATACCTCGAGCTTTCCTATCATCAGAGGCCCGCATGCCTCTTCCTCCACCTCCATCGCGGGAGCCGCTGTCGCCTCTGCGGCCTGCATGATGATTTCTTGTGCAGATTCTGTCTACACTGTAGCTCCACAATCAAATAACTAGCTACTTCAAGGACGGACTTTCAGCTGCGAACAAGAAAATCAAAGACTGCAGCAAGTATTCTAGTTGTGAAAACCAAGAAAACTCAACATGTAACATGTTCCTTCCCACATGACCCAGCTTGCCTGGACGTGCCTTCGAATTTCCCGCGGGAACCTCGTACCTATCACCATGACTACATGACTGTCCGCGTGACGCGCGTCTACACGCGCGCGTGGACGCGTAGAATCTACGCACTTCTTTGCATCCGGCCTTCTTTCTTCACTGATCGTGACGTGATCGATAAAACATTCTTTTCTCAGGATCTGATTCCCCAAAATAATTGCAAATGCAAACTGCCTAAAGTATTCTATGTATTAGCAGTATTGCCTCCTACTGTTGTATGCTGGATCCTGTGCTGTCGAGAGCTTACTAGTACTTTAGCAGAGGGCTAGCCTAGTACATGGTCGCAAGAGTCCACAACCATGGAGCTTTGATGGTAATACAGTATACTACTGGTGGTCCGTAGTTTTTTTTTGCAGGAAATTGTTTTTGTTACATACACAGTGCTTGTGATACATAATCCGTCACTTACTGTTACATAATCAAGAGCACGTCATGGTATTGTTACTGTGGTTTTAATTATACCAAGAGACCGGCAGAGCCCGGAAGACATTAGAAGTAGTTTCTGTTAGTCCATGCACTAAGCGCAATGTTGGACTCATCTGTGGAGGCAACGTTCACCGGACAGCTATTGGCGCTAGTAGCAGTAGGGGCGCTATGGGGTGTAACAAACCCTTTGTTGAAGAGAAGCGCAGAAACTCCACCTGAAGACAGGGAGAAGAACCAGGGCACTAATCAATCTTCTCTTGTGCAACGATATCTGGCCAAATTTATCCATTTGGTGACTCATTGGAAGTCGGTGGTGCCGTTTGCATTGAACCAATGCGGATCTCTGCTGTTCTTTATCACTCTGTCAAGAGCGGACCTCTCTTTAGCAGTGCCTTTAGCCAATTCACTTGCATTCTGCTTCACAATTGCAACTGGCTGGTTCATTGGTGAAACAGTTCACAACCGGTCTTTTGGAGGCCTTGCAGGGCTTGCATTGATGCTGACTGGCATTATCTTGTGTACTGCTGCCAAAGCCCAGTGAGCAGTCGAGAAGCGATGATGCGTGTACCACTCTCCCGTTAGCCAGTGACGTCACAGCAGCCATGACCAGCATGTCATCAGCAAAGCACCTTGCCGCTGGGGTGCGCTCGTGTGGTTGCTGGTTCCAACTCCCCTGGTCTGTGCGTCGCCAGCTCTTTGCTGAGTGAATCGGCCGCAGCACCAGGCAGTTCCGTTGGAATACAGATTATCAGTGGATTATCAACGCATGCAGACTATCAGCATTGTGATGAGAAGGACCTAGAGTTGTGGCTGTGTAGTACACAGGCGTACATGTCATCCTATGGGTGGCTGACACCAGCAAGACCCACTGTGACAGTGGCGCATGGCTGCATATGAGAACTGCTATAGTGCCACCAACGCTAACCTACCACTATCTGTTATGTCTAGTGGAAATCTGCATATACGAGAACCGTCACGGTGGTACATGTACATAACTGCACAACCGGATGCGGATGGAAGTCTTGCATGTATATGACTGTACAACCGGATACGGATAGAAGTCTTGCTGTGCTCTGTCTGGACTCCCCGGCGCAGTATCAGATACGGTGACCAATATGCACGGCAGCAGTCGGACTGCTCAGTACTAGACCAAGTATCTACGTTGTGAAGACTTGCCTTTTCCAACGTTCAAGGACTGAGCACTTCCTTGAAGACTTGACGGCTCACCATTCTCACCACGCAGGGCATCGTCATAATGTCACTGCAGTGCAATAGACGCCTGACAGGGTTGACGCAACGAGCCAACTCGCGTGAGAAACACAAACATATTGAAACACTCTGTGACAGTTGTCATCATTCTACGTACCATGCATGGCCACACTTCCGACTGACTACCTACTGTCCTGTAACGGGTGTTACACACGAACATACATGTGCGTTGTTTCACCATGATGACTGTATGGATTTACTTCATGCCCAACGCATACACGGTTTGTATGCACTTTCACACAAGCACTGTCTGATCTCAGCTGCTCCGGCGTATGTTAGGGCCCGTTTACGCGAGACAGCTAAGCACAGGCTTATTTTGACACCCGGACGCTCAAAGCAATCGGGTTCTGGGCTTCAGGTGCACGGCCTGGAGCTCTGTAGTCATTTTTCACTGGAGTCCGCAGAGGATATTCAGGCAAGAATAGGTGCTGCGAATAGAATGTTCGGCTCCATTTTGTGGAAGCGTCATAAACTGAGCTCCAGACTTTGTGTGTTCTCTGCCCTCATTCTGCCTATTCTGTAGTATAACTGCGGACTGTGGGCACTGACACAGTAACTCAGCACTCGGCTGGACGCATGGCACCGAAGGAAATTGCGGTACCTGCTTGGTGTTGTGTACCCTCGCCACAAGCCAAATGCCACGGTGTACTCTTCAACGCCACAAGACCCAGTCAGCACTATCTGCGGAGTGCCGCAGACGTCGACTGCTCTGGCTGGGCCATGTTGTTCGTGAAGGACCTACTGTAACTCAGCGTCTTACCAAGCCCTGGAGATGGCAATTAACACCCAGGACTACATTGCAGGCCTTCTTGGCAGACTGGTGTGCAATGCTGCAGAGACGGAGCCTGTCCTTCAACCCCTTGCTGGTGAAGCTGTTCCAAAGGCCGCCAACACTGCCCCTCAGGCCAGACTCTGGTCCATGCAAGAGGATGCATTTGTTTGATATATTAAAGGGTGTTCTATCCAGGGAGTATTGTACTACTCCCTGGTTCTATCCCTGCACGTCCTCTCACATGAGGGTATCACCAAGAGTACATAATCCCAGTTGCGCACTCTGGGGGATTATTTATGGACTCGCTATCAGTATCACCACTGATCACAGACTCAGTATCAGGCAACAACAGCATAATCTGAGCCATTACTACAGTTAGAAGTTAGTCGCTATGCACGTTATTTCCGACGTGACGCGAAAGTTCAACTCGCGTTAAAGTACTTGGCTCCAGAAAACAACGCGAGCGACCTGCAGCTCATGTTGAAATTCGGAAGTTTTACACCGACGTGAACTTGCGGGAAATACGGAGGATTAGCAAGACGAAATTCGCGTTCGCGTTCGCACTCCAAGGAAAGTCGAACTCGGTGACGGAATTCGCGTTATGAGAAGGATTAGCAAACAGAATTCGCACATGCATGACGTTGACACCAGGGAGTCGTAAAATATATATACGGTATTTTACGACTCCCTGGTTGACACGATGTACGGGTACAGCGTGGTAAATTTATGACTGCTCTGACACGAATCCGCGATTCGTGTTCCGACTACTTTTCCGAACGAAAACTGCGAAAGTTCGCAATACAGTTCGCGACCTGAAAAATGTTTGCGAACGCGAACACGAATTTCGTCTTGCTAATCCTCCAAAATACCGTGTAATCCATTCTCTATTACTCTTTAAGGCCTGTGGGAATGCCCTATTAAAAATTTATGAATATATAATATTTTAAACAATAATAATCAGGGCTTATATAACTTAGGCTATGATCGTTTGGTCGGATCCAGATCCAGATCCAAATCTCAGATCCATCGGATCCTTCAGAATCAACCGAACACTTTTTTGCGGACCTTGGCTGTTGCCATGTTGACGAAGTAAAAAATGGCGCTGACAGGTCACCCAAAAAAGGCACAAGTCGTACTGATCGCGCGCGTCGTACGAAAAGTCAACAAAAGTCCACTAGACGTACGACAATGAGTATAAAAATGATTTTTACCCACCATATACGCACAAAGGTCACATTTGGATCCGATGGATCCAGTCAACCCTGTAGTCCATCGGCCAAATCTCAGAAAGGGCCTCTTTCGGCGAAGGTGATGCACTGAAGCTCCAACTAAACGCCCTTTGGCACACTAGCTCATGAGACCCCATAGAATACGAATCCGATTGTTGGACGTTGCCAATCCAGTCCAGGATAGTCGAACTGGGTCGAATACCTTCTTCCGATTTTCGTAATTTCGTCCACCATTACATCTTTCTCATCGACTTTTTTTCGCTTGGCGAATGTTCTTGAGCCGCTGAGCAGAATCTACGCACGCTCGAACACTTGAAATGCCTGCATGTTGACGGTTCGCAAGATTCTAGCGAGCTTGGTGGAAATCTATTATTTATTTTGACATTTTTGGGGGAATCTGAATTAGAACGGTAGAAGCTCATTCGGAGAAGACGGCGTGTCGCCGCTGTCGGATTGTCGCTACTGTGTTTCAGACGTATTTGCTTGAACGTGCTATTGAGGATGGACAGAAGATGAAGTGACGGCTTTCTTGAACACGGACGTTGTGTCTACATTGTAGCTGAAACATCTCATCTGGCGTCTAGAACGCAATTATTATGAGTTGTGAGTGCCAGCTGAGCTGAACACAAGCTGGACACCATTCGTCAGCTGGGAATTTGCATCGAAGCTCTTGATAGCCACGATAAGCATAATTATAGAGGTAACCTTGTTTGACTCAATACGCATGCAGGTGATACCACTAGTGGCACTACAATGTAAATGGTGCAAAATTGATGCAACAGCGAATATGTACTTCGTACAATCACGAACAATTGTAAGGCAAGTGTTCATGCCTGTCATAGAAGAATTTCAGCCTGGAAGTCTTGTTGTCATGGTCATAAATAATACAGGACTTGAGTTGGCTCTGGACATAAACACACTTGTGGTGAATACGGTCATTATTACGAGAAAAATATTTAGCCACTGTATGTTAACACCTGATGCCGCACTACACGCAATATTTCATGTACATGTATGTGAGACTCAATTGCATCCACAAGGCCTAGATGCATGTAAGCACACAATGCTGTACAGTATAAGTAGTAGTCGACATGTGGTGCCTTCCTGCTGCACATGCACATGCGGCAAGTTGGCAACGACACATGACCTATCTGCACCGCACAGCGTGAGCTTAGAAAGGAATATTGCACACATAGTGCTATTTGTGTTCCGATATCATTAAGCCGGTATACATGTACTAGTATCCTTATACATGTACCTGGTCACTCGATAGGCGATGCCGACTGTACTAGTCTTATCCATATTACCCGACAGGCTATAGCACACTGCGTCAGATCACTTTGCAACAAAACAAGAGCTTTGGAGCGAATATACACTGAAGCAAAGTAGGTTTCAACGGTACAGCACTAGTCACGATGAGGGGAGTTACGAGGATGGTTAGGCCGTGACACATAGATGATGATTGTTAATGATTCATGCACGGTGGAAAATTACTACCAATGGCGATGATATTGCTTTCACAACAATGACATCAGTAGGAGCAGTCACAACCTTACTGCTCCAAGTAGGATTTACAAGCGAGTGAAGGGAGAGCAGACTGGTCTAATAGCAGACCGGGTCTAAGCAAGGAAGTAATCGGCATCAGAGGTGAGCTTGCACATCAGAAAACAGATGATGATCACCAAACACAGGGAAGTTGGCTATGTGTATGTTTGTGTCACTGTGTGTGTGTGCATGTGTGTTTGTGTGTATGCGCGCACATCTGTGTGTGAGAGAGAGGCAGACAGACAGATAGCATTATGGTGGGAGGGATCAAGGTCTGACCTCAAAGTTAAATGCTGACGGTGTGGAATAGCAACAGTGCGAAATCGGGCAGGGTGGTTAATGGCCCACTCTGGAGCCGAGTAGGAGCGCCAGTGGTTGAGGGCTAGCACAGGAGTAGCAGCAGCTCCAGCCTAGGAAGATCAGCTTCTGGATGAAAATCTCCCGGACACAGTAGGTACCAAGCTTCACTAGCAGATTGCCGGCAGGGGTGCACGGCGAGCACCCGTACATCCCTCAAGCCACCAGAGCCGCAGTACTTGGACACGATCCAGGTGCTTACCCGCCAACAATGCTGAGAAGGCACTGGAGCCATACAGGATCTTATGATCGAGCATGCCCACAGACTTGAAATACAGGGTCCGGCGCTGAATACTGAGACAGCGACGTCTCCTCCACAGAACACCAATTAGCCCCACCATTGCATTATTTTCGTTTTTTCATGATTTTTACAATTGTGTTAGAGCACACAGCACTCGATGCAACATTTACCAGTGACTGAATAACTCCGCGTCTCCGACCATAACTGCAGCGTTCCCGTGAGCCTGTTGGATTTCCGTAAGCCTGTTGAGATTATCTTCATCTCGTCACATGTGAGCCTGTGTGTTTCATCCGTATCGTGGCACAATTACACAGACACGATTTCCAACTCAGGCCGGTTCCGTTGCTCGAAGGGTTGGCGGTAAGAATTGCTACGCCGTCTGTGGCTGCATGGGAACTTGGCGAGTCGTCGTCTTTCTCCATAAATCCTGATCGTCACGCGAACAACAGCCACTATTGCCTAAAAACTACGACACAACAGTAGCAAGCTCGCCCCAGCAGAAGGACACGAATGACGAGCGCTAAGACGGAGAAAGAGAGACAGGGTTAGCGAGAGCTGACTAGTGCAGGTACGCTGTAATCTCCTGAGGTGGTGGGCGAAGCAGCGAAGTGAAACGAAGGAAGATAGAACTTAATTAGAAGGCATACGGAGGCACCAAAACCTATTGCCTGTCACATACTAAGTGCCATTTAGGGTTGACAGCTGTCAGCTGACAGCCTCAAAAATTTGAAAATCTGCTCAAAAAACTCTCGATCAGAACTCTGCGCACTCTCAAATGGAGCGCACAGTAAAAAACTCGGCGACGAAGAACGCTTCGTATCGACGCCCTGGACTGAATTCGGCACGTCCAACAAACGGAATAGTGTTCTCTGATATATTCTCTACGTGCTGGGTATGGTCGCGTTTAGTTGGAAGCTCAGTGCATCACCACTTTCGATTTTGAGACTTGGCCGATGGACTACTGCTCCTGGGGCAGGGTTGCTCGGATCCAAATCCGAAGGATCTGGATCCGGATTCGACCAATCGATCATTGCAGATCCAGTGGATCCGATGGATCTGGATCTGGATCCGACCAAACGATCACGGCCCTATAAGGCGTGTGCTTTTAAATTTTTGCGCCAAGTGTGGCCATTTTATTGGAGGTCTGCGCCGCTACTTGGCCTTTGCAATTTGGCGCTAGCTAGAGCGCACAGGGAGTCGTAAAATGCCGGTATTTTACGACTCTCTGGAGCGCAAGGACGCACGCATCGCTGTGCCTGCAGACTCCCTGACACTGACTGTCCTGGCTTAGTCCATTTTTTGAATTCTCAGTACGAACACAAGTAATAGAAAAGCTGACAGGATCGCTTTTCTAAATTTGTTGCAACAATCAGTTTCTCCTTATTATTATTATCCCAATGGAATCGTGTGATGTCTTAGCCTTTAGCTGAATGCTGAATGGTTCCTTGAACGACTGTAAGAATTCGATTAAATGCACGCCATCGTACTAGTATCGCAATCTGTCTAATGGAGTAATGATACGAAAACTCTCACTGACACGACCTGTCTCGAAGCTGTGCAACCGATTTTCTAGATGTAGAAGCGACCGCATCACCTGCTATTTTCCTCTTGCCAGAATAAAATCGGTCTGTGCCAACGTCTTGTCCGTCTTCCAATCTTCTGTATTTGTCATCCTGGTGATAGTCGCCTACAGCATGACGACGGCAGAGGTATGTGTTAGTGTATGTACGGTGTATGAACTACTGCTACTACAGAAGGCCCTCTGCAGACTACGTACATAGAACATCCAGTACAAAATCACATAAAACCTAAAAGGCAACATTTTTCCAAGCCTACAATCAGACTACACATTTTACATGCGATATACAGGCAACCTTTGACCCTGCGCTATTGCGCAATGGACCTGGGATGTGTGAAAGCAGCCGGCAGTCGTACCCGGGTTCAAAGTCTGTACGTTTGTACAACTACCTGGTGAGAAAGTACGATAAATGCAGGAAAGTAATTAGGCTGTGTTTACATAAGGCGTTTCAACCCGGGTCAGATTTCAACCCGCCATGTGCACAAAATGAATGGTGCGTTTACATGACGCATTGCGCTTGACCCGGGTTGAAATCAACCCGGGTCAAGAAAATTGTACAAACGTACTCCTGTGCGTATCTCGCGCCAGGTTTGAACAGCACTGCACATGCAATTTTCGCGCGAACGGATTCACGTGACCATGCAGGACTCTAGAAGTGGACTTTTGGCGGCATATCAGTATTTGACCCGGATCAACTGTCTTCAGTAAACGCTCACCTATTTTGTTTATTGTACAGACTTTCAACCCGGGCTGAACTCGACCCGGGTTGAAATTTCTCATGTAAACACAGCCTTAGTTGCCTTTTACAAGGGTTCGCACCCTGCCTGAAAGGATTGGGCAGCTTTTTAGGCTTCCCGCCAGATTCTTGTTGTCGTCTTGGAAACTTCTATGTAAATGTGACTTATAGGCTGTTTTGTACCTAGTCTGAAGAGGGCCTATGGCTGCATTCACACACGGTACAAACATTCGCGTTTACATGACCGTACAAGCCACTTGCAACGCCTGTACATTCACACAGTCAAATGCAGTGTGTGCCAATCACGTACAAAGTGACCCGCGTGACCCATGGCAAAGGGCGTGAGCTGAGCGCACCGTGCGGCCCTTGGCTCAAAATTTCAAAAAAATACTTTTTCTTGGTCCGCTAGTATGATCGAGGTGGAACGTCTCCACGACTGGTGTATTCGTCTGAGTTTGCTTGAGTTGTGAACGATAGTGGCCGTGTATATCATTTCCTGATCACCTCCGGATAGCTGTTTTGCATACAGATTCAGCTCATCTGCAATCCTCTGCTCGGCAACAGCTCTTTTCATCATAGTTCCACTTTTTCTCGCTGGTATTTTCCCCATAGTTCTATCAGCCGTGGCTCCACCTCGGCAGAAAAGACAACTCGAGGCATGGTACCGGACTCTCCAAGAACTAACAAAAACTCTGCGCACTCGACACACCAAACCACTCATTTCGACTTGCCTGAAAACTAAAAGCCGAAATCCGCTTTCAAAGCCGCCTTCAAAGCTGCTCCGGGATGGCTTTGAACGTTGATGTGATTTTTCACTTTTCGCGCATGTTTCCATGCCCACTTCAAAGAACATGATGCTTGTATGCGGTTTTGTACCGTGTGACTGTGTGAATGCAGCCTAAGGCCTTCTAGACTACGTACATAGAACATCCAGTACAAAATCACATGAAACCTGAAAATGAAAGGCAACAGTTTTTCAAAGGCTGTGTTTACATGAGAATTTTCAACCCGGGGATGAAGGGTCGAGTTCATCCCGGCTTGAAAGTCTGTACAATGGTCCATTATGGAAAAAATAGGTGGGTGTTTACATGAAGACAGTTGACCCTGGTCAGATACTGATTTGCTGCCAAAAGTCCACTTCTAGAGTCCTGAATGGTCACGTGAATCCTTTCGCGCGAAATTTGCATGTGCATTGCTATTCAAACCTGCTGTCCCTGTTGGAATTTGCGGAAATTTTTATGAAAACTTGCACAAGAAATTGCGGCAGAAAACAACAAAAAATGCGGCCAAAAGTGCGGAAAGAGTCGGAACTTTAAAATACCAGAAATTCGGGGAATTATTGGCAGAAAATTGCGGATTTGGGCCAAATCACGAAATTTGTTGCATCCTTAGAATCGCTATTTGCGTACTGTGCAAATAACCTACGTACGTACATGATCATGGAAAGCACTGTGATAGTCTGTATACTGCGTAAAAAGTGTATACAAATGTAAAAAGAACTGTCCCTCCAGAAACTTGCGGAGACATTTCGGAAATATCCCGGAAAAAGTTGCGAGGTAAAATGCCACAAATTGCGGGGAATATTGCGGATTTTGTCAAACATTGCGAGATTGTTGTGGTAAAATTGCGGAAATTGCGGTTGATTTTGGTACTTGTACTCACTGTACTGCGGTACGATGTACGAGTCGTACAGCATAAATCATGCATAGCACATGCCAAAAACAGAACGTGTGCTGCGCTGTACTCGATTGCGACTGTGTTCAACTGCCCGGCAGGAGCTTGCAAGACAGCTTCCTCCATCCTCGGACAACACTCGACGCAAGCCTTATTATGTGACTTGTCAGCCGCTGATTTGCCCAGAAACTTCTCCAATCTGGTGCCGATCTCACAAGTAAACTACTGACGAGCTTGAAGAACTAAACAACATCGAAGAAAGACTCGAATATCGCAGTTGCTTTTCGAGAATATCGCGGTGCTTTTCACGTATCAAGGACAGTTAGTTTTCTACAATAACGCGGATGATTTTTCAAATTATGCGGATATCGCGGACTTTTGTTCAAATCGCGGAAAACAACGCGTCCGCGGAATCGCAAGTTCCTGGAGGGACAGAAAGAAGTGCAGAAAACAACAAAAAACGTGGGAAATCGCGGATTTTTCAGAAAGCGCGAGTTTTGGCCAAAATCGCGAAATTTGTTGCATCCGTGGAATCGCGATTTCCTGGAGGGACAGAACCTGGCGCGAGATACGCACAGAAGTACGTTAGTACGATTTTTCGCCCCGGGTTGAAACCCCCAAGGGTTCCGTGATTACATCAGTTTAGTGATGTAGTGCGTACAAGCAGGATTCAAGCAGGTCTCCTTCTGCACAACTGCAGCTCAGTTCTACGCACTATGCCATTTCCCGCCTCAGATCTGAGCCAAATATGATGTAATCACGGAATTCCGCCGTGACAGACACCCATAGTAGAAAAAGCCCCAAGCTGCACACTCTGGTTTTCATGTACTCTTGATTATATTACACGTATCAGGGGCGTTGGACACGTGGTGTGGTGAGCCCACAAGTGGGATCATTTTCCAAGTCCACCCAGAGTTTGGGGATTTCAGGGGGTGTCGGCCGTTGGGCGGTTCAATAGCCAATTGAGTCATCTTTCCAAGATTCCCGAGTCTCTCTCCCCTCTCCCGGGGAGACCCACTTGACCTGTTATGGCAGTGAGCAACAAGTACAAGTGTGTGTGTGTGGGGGGGGGGGGGGGGGGGGGCTCTGGGTGTGTGTGTATGTGTGTGCACGTGCTTGTGTGTGTGTGTGTGTGTGTGTGTGTATGTGTGTGTGTGTGTGTGTGTGTGTATGTGTGTGTGTGTGTGTGTGTGTGTGTGTATGTGTGTATGTGTGTATGTGTGCATGGTGTGTGTGTGTGTGTGTGTGTGTGTGTGTGTATGTGTGTGTGTGTGTGTATGTGTGTATATGTGCATGGTGTGTGTGTGTGTATGTGTGTGTGTGTGTGTGTGTGTGTGTGTGTGTGTGTGTGTGTGTATGTGTGTGTGCGTATGTGTGTGTGTGTGTGGTGTGTGTGTGTGTGTGGTGTGTGTGTGTGTGTGTGTGTGTGTATGTGTATGTGTGTGTGTGTATGTGTGTGTGTGTGTATGTGTGTGTGTGTGTATGTGTGTGTGCGTATGTGTGTGTGTGTGTGTGTGTGTGTGTGTGTGTGTGTGTGTGTGTGTGTGTGTGTGTGTGTGTGTGTGTGTGTGTGTGTTGTGAGTTCCCAGAACTTCAGAAGACAGTTGTGTTGTGAGTACATGTACCCAGAAGACAGTGGCGTCTTCTGGGGCTCTGATTTCCAGCTATCCCCTGCCTTTCCGGTGGGGGGGGGGGGGGGGGGCTTTCTGTGTGGTGAAGACCGGGGAAAGCAGTGTCTGCTCCAGTGCCGGGTGAGCCGGGTAATCCACCCGGTTGGGGAGCGCTTGGACCCGGTTGAAAATATAGTACCGGGTCACCTGTGACCCTGCTGGTACTTTACACTTTCGAACTTTGAAAGGACTGACTACATGGCTTGTATGTGTCAGATACTTCTTCTTCTTTCGTAATTTTCTAATTTCTGTCCTCTCTTTTCTAAATGCGGCTTATCCATTCGCCTTTATATCATTGGGCCTAGTTCCCGTTTATTGTCCGAAGTGTTAGGTACATGTGTACCACCCGGTTGAAACGGTTGCGCCAGGTACACGTGCACCTGGCTGTCCTACAATCCTAGAGCAGACACTGGAAGGGTCCCCCCCCCCCCCCTCCCGCCCCAGGCACCACTCATTTGCCTTGCAAGTGATGAGCGTGAACAAGAGTACCGTACATACCGTATTATCTCTAATATAAGCACGGTCCTTTATTTTTTCAATGTACGTCCGCCCCGTGCTATTAATGGAGACGTTCCTTTATTGGAGACTGTTCCATTATTATTTCAACCTCATTTCAGAGGCATGTTGCCATGCCAAATTCATGTGAGACACACACATTTCAGGGTTTTTTTCGCCGGTACAGATAATGAATTTACACAGTGTGCTTATATTAATATCAGAGCATTCCATAAGGACATGGAGACATGTCTACGCATTGATGGTCGGCTGTTGGACCCGCTAGAGGTACAGAATGGCCTGCGCCAGGGCTGCTCCATGGCACCGGTTCTTTTCAACCTGTACATGGCTGCTGTCTTTCATACCTGGAAGCAGCGGATGGAAGGCGTGGATGGCTTCGGTGTCGATATCCGCTACAACATCAATGGTCAGCTAATGCAGAAGCCTCGTTGCACAGCAGTGTCAGACACCGTAACTGAATGCCAGTTTGCGGATGATTCCACACTGTTTGCGATATCTCGATCCGGGCTCGAGCGAGCTGCAGTGACATTCGATGAAGTTGCCTCCGAGTTTGGACTGACAGTTAGTCTCTCCAAGACCAAGTTCATGGTGATCGGCAGAGACATTTCTGATGCGGACCTCGCCCCTGTTTGTGTTGGTTCGAACCAGATCGAGTGCGTAACGGAGTTTCGCTACCTTGGGTCGATCATCGATACGTCTGGCCGGTGTTTGATTGACATCTCCTCCAGAATTGCGGCTGCCTCCCGTGCGTTTGGCTCCCTGCGGAAGCCAGTTTTCAACAACCACCATCTGTCCGTCCGCACCAAGAAGAATCTCTTCAATGCGTGCGTTGTCACCATTCTGCTGTACGGAGCTGAGTGCTGGGTACCCCTCCAAGCCGACATCCGGAGGCTCTCCACGTTCTACATGCAGTGTCTGCGTACCATTCTTGGCATAACAAGGTTAGACGCCTGGCAAGAGCGGATCAGCAATGATCGGTTGCTGGAAATGTGGGGCGACAAGCGCCCACTTGCTGTCCGGATTCGCCAGCGACGACTTGAGTGGCTGGGCCTGGGTCATGTTGCTCGCATGCCACCAGGGCGCATCCCGAAGATTCTGTTGTTCGGTCTGCTCCCATCCCGCCGTCCACCTGGCGGTCCACGCAAACGCTGGAAGGACTGCATTAGTGCAGGCCTGAAGGCCCTGAATGCTGTGGAGGGATGGTACGATATGGCAGATTCTCGCCCCCACTGGCGCCGCATGTACCGCTGTTTCGAGCCCGAACCGCCCACACCCAATGTACATTGCCAAGTATGTAATCGGTACTTCTCTCGCCCATCAGATGAGAAGCGTCACAAATGCTTGGCAGAACGGCAGAAACCAGTGTGCAATCAGGCTGGCGCTTGCCAATGTCGTCTCTGCCAACGTTGGTTCCGCAGCCCCGGTGGATTGGCTACCCATCGGTGCGATCACAGACCTGCTCCCAACATCGAGCACCCCGGCAACCCGGTCACTCCGCAGTGCAGCACCTGCCACCGGAGTTTCCAGTCCAGCAGCGGCTTGGCCAGACACAAGTACGACCGCACGAAACGAAGGACAGTGTCGGAAAGGGCCGACTTCCCGTTTGAGTGTCCTTGCCAAAGGAAGTTCCGGCTACGTCACCATCTAGTGCGCCATCGGAAGTGCTGCTCCTCAGCCTCTTCCACCCCTCTCCCCTGACGGGGACCCTGTAACCTATCAAGGCAACGTGTATCAAGGTCAAGGTGTGTGTGTGTGTGTTAACACCTGTCGGAAGGCTACCTTCTTGCCAAAGTATTTGGAAGTTGGACTAGTTTTGGCTCCACAATCCAGTGTGTCGTTACTATACTTTATTATAGCTTTTAGGACCATCGGTATTCAAATATAAGCATTAGGAAATACAGTGTGCTTCTTCCAGGCGTTCGGTCTTTGACCACTTTGTGGTGGGTCTGATCTACTCACCTCCCACCACTTTAGGAGCTGCATCTGCGCCTTCATCCATAGAGGGTGGTGGCGTTCCTGCCTTGATCCTAGAGGGTGGTGGTGTTCCTGCCTTGATCCTAGAAGGTGGTGGTGTTCCTGCCTTGATCCTAGAGGGTGGTGGTGTTCCTGCCTTGATCCTAGAGGGTGGTGGTGATCCTACGGATGCGGAAAACTCGGCCTCCAGCTGAGTCTCACGCGAACCGTGGTTTTTTTTCTTTTTTTCCAGGCAATGTTTAATTCAATCTTAGGTCATCCTGGGCAAAAATTGGCTGACATCGAGCAGTGTCATCAAGAGTACATAACCCCCCAGAGTGTGCAACGCCTGATCCAGTGGGTCTTGGTCGAGCGTAATCGGATCTTTGCGTCATTATACCGTACACATCTGAGGGGAAACCGGGGAGTCGCGGGTACTCTCGGATCAAAAACAACGGTGCCCTGCCTCGAGACCGGCCTTGCGCTGGTGTGGAGGGTACGCATGACAGAAGATCCGATTACGCTCGACCAAGACCCTATGCAGAGCTGGATCAGGCGTTGCACACTCTGGGGGGTTATGTACTCTTGGTGTCATGTATCGTGTCATCTGCATACTGTGAAAACTGAGTAGGCATGTATGAAGGGGAGGTGCTGGCCGCTCTCGCCTGCCTCATCGCACCTTCGCCGTAGGTAATTAACATGGCAGGAGACATTGGGTCTCCCTAAACCACGCCGATATTGGTCAAGAAGGGAGCACTGACTGAGTTGCCCAGCAATCGCTGCACGAACTTCTTCTGTTGAGAAAGGCTCATCGTCCCCGAAACAAGTGGCCGGCTGATGAGCCGGTTTGCACGGCATGCTGGTATCGTAGAAAATCCTCGAGTAATGGTAATAGTCACTAAACTTCTGGAGGTTCCAACCAATGTGCGGGATGATCCTTTCATCAGCATCAGCATCAGCATCAGCATCAGCATCAGTCCGTTGGATCGGCGGCGGCGCCTTGTTACCCGCTCTCAGTGTACATAGGTTGCAAATCGCTTGCAAGTAAGACCTTGTGTGAGGCCTAAGCGCATCGGCATCCATTGCCTGCTTTTTTCCAATGGAGATCGTCTTCCCTCCACAGAATGGAGCGTATTTCATGGAGAAGTTTCGATATTTGAGTTTGCAAAGATGGCTGCTTAGTGATGTCTGTTGTTGTAGCTTGAATTTTGTATGTGCAATTCCTTCTGCTGCTTGGTAATCTGTCCGCAATAGTATAGGGTTGGTACTTCAAACTGCTTTCTGTCCAGCTGGTCTTAGTCCAAATGTCTGTTTGGCTGCAGAGTGAACTGTGGACACAAACTCTCCCCTCCCCCATGTTGCATCTGCTTTTGAGCATGCCATGTCTGCAGCCTTGATCTCAGGTATCGTGTCCAGAAGCAGTTCCAGAGACCTGTTGGCAGTTTCTGTTGATGGTGTGTTGTAGCGTAGTATCACCGCATTCGGTAGTTGGCACCCATAGTCAACTAGTTGTCTGTTTGTATCTGTATGTGCCTATGTGTGTCGCTGTTACCATAGTCAACCTACGTGGACAGACGGATACAGCTGCTCGCAACAGACTGTGATAGGATGCAGTTGGTAAAGGTCCGGGAGCTGCTGTCACGTGTTGCCTTGAAGGTAATGCGGTGAGACGACGTTGACACTGATGTGGCATGTACATACGCCGTATGGCTCTGTTGGTCACTGCATGTGCATGCTTGTATCCAATGTCATATGGCTCTGTTGGTCACTGCATGTGCAGTGCTGCTCAATGAAATCCAGTCGCGCCACTCAAGTACGCGCCGGGTGTTGCGCAGCCCTAGACCTGCACACACAGGGCTGCGAAATGGTGCACGGCGCAAACTCGAGTGACGCGACTGGATTTCATTGAGCAGCACTGTACATGGATGCTGTCTGCGCACTGGATGTAGTGCACTTTTGCTATGCCACGTGGAGTTCCTCTTTAGAAACACTGCCTGTGTCTAGTAGGCGTTGATGCATATAGTTTCATGCTGAGTTGTGCTAGACTCTGATTCTTCGAGTACATATTACGTGCTATCACACCTTCAAACCTATCACAGATTATCTGACCGTAAACCTGTAACATACCAGTGTTAATTGTGCACGTTGCCTGGCCATCATCGCCACGCTCGGTAGCATGCTTGCGTGCAATGAATGCACTGCTTTTTGTTGTTGCTGGTAGAGCATCATGGATGTGCATGATAACTCCCTTGTATGCTAGAACTCTGCGTGTATGCTAGAACTCTGTGTATACGTGTGCATGTGTGTGTGTATGTGTGTGTGTGTGTGTTTGTGTGTGTGTAAGCGTGTGTGTGTGTGTAAGCGTGTGTGTGTGTGTGTGTAAGCGTGTGTAAGCGCGCGCGTGTGTGTGTGTGTGTGTGTGTGTGTGTGTGTGTGTGTGTGTGCATTTCTTTTCTTAGGGCGTAGTTACTGATGATCGGTTTGAAATGCTTCCGTCTAGCTGTCAATCGAGACTTTTAAGTTTACTACCCGCAGTAGACCATCTTTACACGGACGACTATGGCATGCCTATCAATAGGTGAGTCATATGATAAATAAGATGTTGCGACATTGGTGATAATTGGTGAAGAAAGTGTCTGCTCCAAACGTCGGAGCTCGCGCTTCCTGCCGACGGACTTGGCACTTGACTGACACAAGACTGCGTCTCGAGCACACGAGAAGCCCGTTGAACCTTCCACTCGGCAAACCTGCAAGAAAGCACGACTCCCTGCTCAATACACAGTGTTTTGGGGAATTTCCCCCCCCCCCCCTCATCAGTTGAGCTTTGAAAACTCTGCTCCAAGAACACTGCATTATGTAGCGCTCTCTGAGCCAAAACACCACTAGGGATACCAACTTACTGTGACGCTCCGTTTGCAGCGCGACGAACATCTCGTGAGCACCAGGCAGCAGCGTGAGTCAGTGTCGCACATGGAGTTGTGAGAACATACTTCAGTACGCTGATGGCCTTCGCCAGTCGCAATGCTGTCACCTCCAACCATCTACTAGTTGTCGCATTCCTGTGCGAGGGACACCAGCA